GGTATATAGGTTAACTATTATTCGGCCTTTACGCTTCCCGTTCATAGTTCGCTATATAATAAATACTAAGGCTCCGAATAGCGTAGGCTAAGTTGGCTATTCTATTTATCCTTACTTATAGAGTTTATTTAGGGTCTTATCTAAAAATCGCTAATCGTTACGGCTAAGGGGATATAGCTTCTGGCTAATCTTCTAATTATACTATCTATCGACTAAAAGGACCTTTATATACTCCTTAGGAGGTATATTAATAACGCCTTAGTCGGTTTAAACCTTCGGATACTTCTCGATAATCTTACTAAACCGGCGTACAAACCGGTCACTATAGCGGTAGATCGTTACCCCTTCTTTAGTAATCTTTATAGGGGCGTTTAGGCTTTTAGCGATACCTAGCTTACCTTCGGGAGTAATATACCCACGGAAGATATCGCCTTTAGCCTTACTAGGCGGTTTTTCCTTTATACGCTTAAGTAGGATATCTCGCGCGTCGTCGCGGTTAGTATACTAATAACCTTCTACCTAGAATAACTCTATATAACCTAGCTTAGTGTCTTTAGCTATAACTAATAGCCGGTTATCGGCGTTAAAGATAGGTATTATAGACTAGTTATTAAGGATATAGTTCGGAGAGCCCTTTATATCCGGGAAAAGCTTTAGGGAATTAAGGTTAATATCGGGCTTATTAATTAGCACGAATCTATACGTTCGCGGTATAGTAACTAAACGTTTAGTAGCCTTAAGTTTCCGCTAGATTAGAGAATATTTAGCGAATACCTTTATAAGAACCGTTAAGCCCTAGTAGGCGCTAATATAAATAGCTTCCTACGTGTTAAGGATATCTAGCCTATTAGGATAGTTAAATTCCTATCCTAAGAGAAGACCGGCGTTAAGCTTAGGGATAATCTAGGCCCCGATATATAAGCGGCTAATCTTTTTTTTATTACCTACTATACCTCGATTTAGTACGGTAAAGGTAGCCTATCCTAGGGTCTTTATCGATCCTATACCTTATAATACGGCGCGCTTAGTAGAATCGATATATTTATCGGGAAATCGACTAAGGAGCTATTAGCTTACTATATAGCGGGAGGCTCCTAAGTCGACGTAAATATCGAATAGCGCGCCTATAGGAGAACCACGGGCTTAGATCCGGGTATATGTGTACCCGTAAAGACTATTAAAAGGATCCCTAACTTCTTAGATAATACCGTTAATTAGCGGTAAGTCCTATCCGCTCTACTCCTTTAATTAGTACGGCTAAGAGTAGGTCTTTTCGTGTCGGATAGTCTTTAGATTTAACCTTATAGGTTAGTAGTATTTACTATACTCCTAATATACCTAGTAAAGATCAGCGTACTTAGGTATAACTCCGGGTCTATCGGCGACCTAATATAGTTAATTACTCTATTCGTTACCCGCGCTATTATCGTCCGTAAAGTCTATAAAACCCTTAGAGTTCCCCTCGGTATAGTAGTACTTAGGTTCTATATTAACTTTATCTCTAGACACGGGCTTAGCGGCGGTTTTTTCGGCGGAGGCGTTAACCTAATCTTTAAGGCGGTTACGGCGATAGTCTTTATATTAGCGATTAGACTATTTATTAGCGTTATTAGTTAGGAGTCGCTAACCCTTATTATTAATATAACGGTTAGCGTTTAGCGTAGGAAGCGCGCGATTCTTACTTTAGCGATAGAGCTAGCTAAGGCTAAGAGAATAGCGGTTAGGCTATAGTATTTAGCGGCGCTTAGGCGTTAAGCGTTTATCGTAATACTATAGCGCGGGTTACTAAACTACTATAATAGGGGACGGAGCGCTATATATTCCGTGGTCCGATTTAGGAAGGCTACATCGGCTAATATAATACTTCTAAACTCCTTAGGTATAATTCCGGTACTATCCTAGTATTAGGTTTACTAGGGAATTTAAGAAATCGGCTAACTTTACCTCGGGTCTTAGTCGGACTACGGTAACGGCTAGGTTAGTATTAAGCTTATCCTAAATAATAGATAAGAGCTTTCCCTAAGGTTTATCGGTAGCCTTTACGAGTTAGGTAACCCTATTAGCGAATATACGGATATTATAGCGGTTTATAATATCTTTCAGGGTATACTTTTCCCGGCGTAATTAGTACTTAGCTTCTTCGCGCGGGAGCCAGAATCGGCTCTCTAAACTATCCTTTTAGTTTTTTAGAGTAATACTCTTATTATACTATTCGTAGAGTCCCGGGTCTATAGTTATTAACTACTTAAAGGCTTTACCTAATAAATAACGGGAGATATTATAGGTAAAGGCTTCGCTATACCCGGGGCTTATCCCGGCGTACTACTCTATAGTATCCGTAAAGCGGAACACGTTAAGGAAGACTAGCTTAATGCATTCCGTGCGGATATCCTAGGTAGCGGTAAAGTATTCCGGCGGGTTAAAGTATTTAAGGTTATCCGCCTTAAAGCGAACTTAAGGTTAATACGATTACGAACCGTGTTAGAGTTCGCTAATAATAGCTAATAGGTTTAACTAGCGTATATATATTTAGTCTCCGCTTATAGGGGGCGGCTAAATAAGCGCCGGAGGAGGGGGAGGCGTTTTATCCGGTAATCCGGTACTTTAGCGGATATTCTAATAACTAGGTCCGGGAGTATTAGATACTATACTCTTAGAGTTAACCGGGTAATCGGCTAAATAGGCCTAGTTAAGGGCGTTAGACGTTTAGCATTCTATAGCGTTTAAATAGCGAATAATAATCTTAGTAGGGGATATATAGGATAAGGGCGATTAGTATAAGGAGGATTTACTTAGGGAGTATATTAATTCCTCCTCCTTAATCACGGGCTCCTTATCCGTGGCCTTTATAGTAGGACGGATAAAGAGTAAGGTAAGCTTTATTATAGTGAATAACGGTTCCCCTAGCTCTCCCGTAATCTTAAGGCGACGCCGACTACCTAGCTCTTATATCCTAAGCCCTATTATAATAAGCTAGGCGGAGCTAGGTAAAGTAAAGCTAGTATTAGCGGAGCTAGTATTAATAAGGCTAGTATTAGTAAGGCTAGTATTAGCGAGGCTTTTTCCGATATAGTCGATTAGGTTAGCCTCGGAATCTAGCTTACCCGTATAAGGAGCGGGACTAATAATAAACGGTTATATAGGTTATTTCCCCTTAATATCGCGGGGTTCTTTTATACCCGCTAGGATCTCCCTATAAATAGGTTCTCTATTAAGCTATTTTTCGAAGGCGTCCACGAAGTTATCCGGTCTTCGGATCTATTTCTTTAGGTAGGATATATTAGACACGGACTCCGATTATAAGATTCTTCCTTTTAAGGTTAGGCCGCTCGCGCCGGCTATCCCTAAGGCGTACACGGCCCTCCTAGCTATATTAAGTAAAGCTATATCTTCGGGCGTAAGGAGATTAGCGATAAGGTCCGGGAAATTATCTAAGAACTTAATAAGATTTTTTACGCTTTTAGCGTTTCACGGATAAGAATAGTTGTTAAGGAGGTTTATATCGGTTATAATAGCGGAGCTTTAGATTCTATAGCGGATTTTTCGTTTAGTAGAGTTAGTATAATCGCTAAACCTATATACGAATAGCCGGCTATAATTCTTATATACTCCACGCCTTAGTCTAGTAAAGGAGAGGCGTTTTCGCTTAGCGTGCTAACGGTTATATAGTTCTATTAGTATACTATATATCTATATAGTTATAGGATATATAGCTCGCGTTAAGCGGCGGTATATAAACCTCGCTTAAAAGCTTAGTTACTACTATTTAATATACCCTATCTAGGTATATCTTTAGCTAGCTAGTATTATCGGACCTAAGGCTTTTAGGGTTCGGAATAGCGACCTTTAGGTATAGAAAATAGGGTATAATAAAGATATCTTCTCTAAACTAAGGGGGAACCGCACTAAGGATGTATCCTTTAGCCGGTTCGGCCTAACTATAATCTATACTACTAATCCTCCGCTATATAGGCGGATAGTCCGGGTATTATCCGTTCTTTATCTATACGAATAGGGCTAGAGCTATACGTTCCCTATTCGGGCAGATAGCTCCCGCCCTATTCCTGCGGAGGCTAGGGAATGGGGCGTATTAATTTCTTTGGATTATATCTATATATATAGAGATACCTAGGAAACCCACCTAATTTCGGTAGTGGAGATATAGTGGATTATCTAATCCAGAAAGGGTTAAGAGGACCGGGAAGACCGAATAGGGGGTGGCGGAAGACCGGTACTTATCTAACCTACCTTACCTTACCCTCCCCTGTTTTTATCCTCCTCCACCGGCCGACGTTACGCAATATCGAGCGCCTTCCCTAGCCATTTCGGGCCCGTACCTTTTTATTTCGACCTTGCAAGGCTCCGGTCTCCCAAGCCTCTATGATCGGGCAACTGCATTGCCTGATTCGTCTGTCGGTCTCGGAGCTGTCACTCCCTCTCTCTGAAGGCAGAACAGGTCGGCGACTAGGACGCCTCGTTTTACTTGTTGCGTTTCGTGGGGGCCGGACAGCGAATGGCGTAAGGTAGACACGAACATGGGGTATGTGTATGGTGGGAATACTGGAGACTCGAATCTTCTGCTGTCGCGTACGAAGTAGGGACACACGCGCACTCCTTCGCCCTTCTTCTGGCCGTGACCTGACCGGTCAGTCAGTGGTTCCTGCCAGGTATCTGGGCTGCATCCCAGATTCCGGAGAAGGAACGATATATCCATAATAGACGCCCGCAGCCCCGAGGACACGTACCTCAATGTACCTAAAGTACCAGTTACCTTAGGTACCTACCTACCTGGTATAAAGTAAGGTATGTAAGGTAGCTACCTAGGTAGGCACGTTGGCAGCCACTTCAACCCAGTTGGGACATGGAGATGACAGCGGCGGTTGGGCTCTTGCGATGATCTACGGATAACTCCCTCTAGGAAATCAGATCTCAAACAGTTGGACCATTTGGAATTCTCGCCCACGACAAGAAGATTCATTGAGACTATTTCATGGACGATCGTCCTGCAACCCCAACTTCCAAGTCCAAGAACGGGCCTCCTCCCCACGCAAAGTGTTGTTGTCTCGCGCCCAGAACCACCACCCCACCTGTTTTGGAAAAAGGGCCATCCCTTAATGAGGGTAAGTAAGTCCGAGCTAACCTCGTCCCTGACTCGATCTCTCGTTTTGGTCTCTAACGTAGCATGGGGAGAATCACTTCACCTAGGTAGTCAACATGGAGCTCAGCCCACATGCCATCAACAGTGTCATCCATCCCACTGCGGCTTTTCTCACGGCCCCGACCTCGGTCACGGACTCATCTGGTACTACCGACGATGAAAGCGCCGTCTCAGTCCCATGGCAGGAGTCTCAGCTCAACCCCAAGAACCGGATCAACAGTCTCGCTCCTCTGGAGTCTCCCTTGTGGCGTATCGATGGCTGCACCTCGTTCGGCTCGCAGTTCTACGTCATACCTCTCTTTATGCGCCCCATTCCGATGAGAATTGATGTCTTCATCCCCGAGCTATCTAGACAGCCGCATTTGATACGAAATTTGCTGGAACTAGATCACGCCTTCCACACCAAGGATCGAGTTCGTCTTTCCAGGCTTGCCATCTCTATGCACATTCTGCGGAGGCTCCAGACTTGGACCAAGTCCCTGCCTGACCGAGAGCGATACTTGAACAGCCTACCCTTTGGCTCTCGCATCGTCTTCAAGAACCTATCTCTAGACGTAGACCAAATCGAAATCGCCGTCGCCCAGACGCATTCTTTGGAGGTCTATCAGTTTTCAGTCCCGCAACTCCAGGCTGCCTGGGGGCACGATATCCTTCTGCCCCCCTGCATCGACATCGCCGATGTGCGCGTTGTCGAGCAGATTCATGACAGTACCTGCCTTGTCAGCATTGATGGCAAGTTCTGGATTCTCAAGGCGCTGACGAGCTTCCCCAAATATCTCTACCACGAATTGAAGCTGCTTCTCACCATGAAACCGCATCCCAACATCGTATCGCGGCCAGCGCACCTCGTCACTAAACGAATAAGTTTCGGATCCAAGAGATCCGTGCTCGGGTTCACGCTCGAGTTTCACCGCCATGGCACTCTGCGCGACATCGTGCCTTTACTCGGGTCCAGCGGCTCCTTGATGTTATCTGAGCAGTTCAAATGGGCCACTCAGATCACCTCTGCGTTGATACACCACCGAGAGACAACAGGAACGTTCTATCCGGACCTTCGGCTCGATAACATAGTGCTTTCCGCCGAAAGGGATGCCATCATGGTGGACTTTGAGCAGCGTGGTGTCTGGTGCGAGTTTGCCGCACCCGAGGTCAACTGCATTGAGTATATCCGCATTCTGGCTACGGCGTCTGACGACGACATACCTGCAGATGTGAGGCAAAAATACGCAGACAGGATGGAACAGCTCATGCCGGGCTACGAGCCGTTGCTCGAGAGGCAGCAGTACACTAACCCGCCCGGTGGCTACAATGTCTCCTGGCTTTCCCTGAGCCCACGTGAACAGGGGGCGGCCGAGGTGTACATGCTGGCGAGGGTTCTGTGGTGCATATTCGAGGGCGTGAGCGCGCCCCAGAAGGCCACCATTTGGGTCTCGTACCGCTGGGAATCGCCCTTGCAGTTTCCCGAGTATCGTCGCACGCCGCCTCCGGTGCAGCGCCTGATCGACCAGTGCACCAAGGGCCGGCGGGCCACGCTAGATTCCAAGGTCATACGGCAGGGTAGCAGGCTCGTTCTTCGCGAGACTCCAGACCCTTCGCAGTCGTACCCGGACGCTGTGTACCGTACGGCTCGGGACTGGTGGAGAGACGAGGTTGCTTGGGCCGAGGATTACCTGGCAACTAGGGAGCGCATGAAGAAGAGTGGCGAGTGGAACGATAACCCTTATGACCGTCCTGGCTTGAGGGAGGTGCAGGAGAGATTACATAGCATAAAATCTGACATGGGTGTACCCTAGGCAGGTAGGAAGATCTTCGAGACTGGGTGCCGATAACTTCAACATGGCCAGAGGTGCCTAATATGCGGATAATCTTAGAAAATCGACCACGGTCAATTAAATTTGGCTCTCTGTTGGCTCTCGTTTCTGAGATCAGTCGATGAGGGGGAGTGACTTGTATGAACTGTCTGTCTCTCGGTTATCACGGCGGAATGTAAATGGTGTCGTACAGTTGGAACTGCAAATTCAATGTCGTGACAGAAATCAATACTATTTGTGGGTGACACTCTATGGTCCAAGTGCTGACGGAGCTTCCTTGCCTGCGTTGGTGGTGAGGCACGTAGGTCGCAACAAACTCAAGGAGAGATCAGGATCGCCCAACGATAAAAATCTAGTGAGAGGGAATCGCAGCGATGGTGCAACATCGTGAGTGGACCAGCCTTCACCCCCACGATGATCGTCTATAGAGCAAGCAGAGACATGACGCATGAGGACAGGTAAATGAGACGTTAAGGCCGGTGTAAGAACCAAGACTTAAGAAGGAGAGAAAAAGTGTGGTAGAGGGAAACACGAGGAAGACGACATCGCGTCCTTCCCCAGCCCAAACGAAGAAAGAAAAAGAATGGTGTTCTGCCTCGTGGGAAACCTCGAGGTCAAAATTTTGCGGAGGAAGGCTCAGGATCACTTCACCCGCTTCGACCCTCTGTCGTGCGAACCCTGGCCGCCGTGAGGTCCTTGCCTTTTGGAAGCGCCGATGCCGTCACCACCGCTGACGCCACTTGCCGGCTTCTTCAAACTCGCGAGTAACCTCTCAAGCTTCTCAGCATACGCAGCGGGGGCGCCATGGACACCGATCGCCTCCGCGATGACCTCAAGCTCGTGCAGGAATGGAGCAGCGGCATCAGGCAGCAGGAGCAAAACGCCGACCACGAAGTCTCCGCCCCGGGCATCGCCTACGAGACGCGCGTAGAGGTTCCTCTCGGCCAGAGGCCCCGTCGCCGGGTACGAGTCGCGGTTGCGGTCGACGGCGGAGGCGAGGATGCGGACGAGAGCGCGTGCGGCGGAAGTGCGCTCCCAGGGGGCAAGCGGGGCGTCGCGCCACATGATCTTGGACTTGATGCGAGAGACGACGGCGAGGATGCGGCGCGCCGCCCAGGGGACGTCACATGGTCTCCCGGCCGCCGAGGAGGACGGACGGGCAGAAGAAGACGACGAAGATGACGACTCGGTCTGGGAGGCAGAGTGATGGTCAAGGTGGCGGAGGACACACTGGACGCGCTGTTCGAGTTTGCGGAAGGGATCCCTGGCGGGGTCGGATGAGCGGGCGAGAGATAGGAAGTAGTGGAAGAAATCGTTATTGTCGAGGAGCATACGGAAAACGGTGCACTCGAGGTCTCGTCGCTTGATCAGGTTCGTCCCCGGAGTGGGATGATCAAATATATCCGGGCGGTACTCCTCTGGGGGGACTGCAGCGACGGAGGCGAGGAGTTCACGGGCCTCCTGGACCCGGCAAGGGTTGGGTGCATCCGCATCGTCATCATCGGAACGCGGGCGGACAAGGTCACAATGGAGGCCATCGGCGAGGAGATCGAGATGCAAGTCGGTGATGCTGGTGTAGGGGTCTCCGACTTCTTGTGGGTAGCCGGCCGGCGTCATGGTGAGGGTGGAACCGGAATGTTCTTCGCCGAGAGACTGGTTGACGACCTGATCGAGAAGCCATAGGAGATGCTTGCACGGATTTCCACCTTGTTGCGCACAGGAGCACTTGGGATTCGGGAAATTGCTTTCGGGGGAGCCGATGCGAATGCTGCGCGGAACCAGTTCGGTCATTTGAAAAGCATAAACATCGTCCCGAAAGCGACAATACTGCAGGGTCAGTCTGGGAGGGTCCCTGAAGGCTTCCCTGACGCTCCCCTGCAGGTCCGCAGGCAGGTCTTCGATGTTGTAACATAGTTTGGTCGGCGACTTCACAACGGCAGGGGCGTGTTCTTCGGTTGTAGAGCTGTCGGAGTCGCTCTCCGGATCGGAGCTCGACTCGGCAGCTCGGATGCCGTGAGACGACCACGGCGACTGTGATGTCGTTGTCGAGGCCATGCTCTCTAAGGAAAGCTCACTGAATTTGGAGACAGGAGCGGACATGGGGAGTTTCGAGATGGGCAGAGTTGAAGTGGCGAGGTAAGGAGGAAAGGGAACCGGTGGGTGGGAAGAGAGAGACCGGAGTGAAGAGGGAGGCAGGAGACGATCCAACAGAAGAATTGTTTTATGGTGAGTGAGTCTTTCTAACAGGACACGGATTTTTCATGTTAGTGCTTGATACTCTTTCTTATATATCTCCAGTGGATGGTCTGGCGATGAGCCAGCCATGTCCAAGGTCAAGGCCCCATGAGGAGACCCATCCCGTTGGCGGTTTTCTTCAGTGTTGGTGCAAAACCCAGTGGAGACATGAGATCAGTAGGTAGAAGCAAAATCGATTGTTCGAGCTTGGAACAAGACAACAAAGCCGACGCAGTCTGTGGAGTCAATCCTGGGTTGCTGGTAACGACAACGGCGTCTGCTAGGTTAGGCATGACGGGAGAACAGAGTGAGAGGACTACCCCGGTCTCCCACGACCGGCTGATGGTCGACGGTAGACGTCTAGGAGATGAGGACTCGGTAGAAGCAGGTGCTACATCAAAATCGGGTGTCGTAGGTGAGGAGGCTATACCGTGGACTCGGAGGCTGTGCGGTCCCGGTAGTTTGGAACACTGAAGCCTGGAGAGACAGGGGCCGGAAGCACGACAACTGGGGCACTGCCGAAAATCAACGTGGGAAGAGAAGACAAGCGGGACGGGACAAGATAATTGCATCATATTCGTCGGATACGTCCAAGGTAATTCGAAATGGATAGGCCTTCTAGAAAGGCATTGATCGGTGGGGGTATGGGTTCTGAAAGAACGGGGAACGGGGAACGGGTACAGAGGACGCAGGCATGAAAGCATGCTATGGCAAGGTATGATGAGGGCCATTGAGATGGGATATCACGTCGTGATTCTGGTAGTGATGTTTGTCGGATACCCAACTGATCTCTTGGTTTGCTAAGGTATGGGAAGTGAAGTCGGATGAGGGATGAGTTCAGGGGTGCTCCAGTTGTCCAGCGGGGGTAATTACCTTACGGACCCATCGCACAGCCCTCCGATTCATGGAGCGGAAGTGGGGCGATGAGCGTCAGAATGTAGGCACGTGACCACGGCTTCCGCTTCGGTACTCACTAAGGTACCCGTACGTTGTAGGCTGTACAGCTCCGTACCCAATGAGATGTGAAGCCATGGACCCATCACGGGTCTCTTCATCTGCGACCAAGCGACCACTTTTCGAGACCATCTCTTCCTCTTCTCTCCTTTTTTTCCTTGACCTTTTTGTTGCCATATTCACTTCACAGCCATGATGCGGCCCGTTCAGCGGCCAAAGTCATTCCTGAGGCCAATTTCCGTCCGATTTCGATGCCTACTTCCTACCTAAACTAATAATCGATCATCGGGCATCGGTCATCGGTCATCCTTTCTTTGGCGTCCCGTCCATCCATCCATCCAGGCTTCATCGAACTCGCTGCATTCCGGTTGCCGACCAACTTCCCAACTTCCCTCACCGGGACTGAATCGACTGGCCATCTTGACCTGATTCCTCTCCCAGTCCCAGTGGATCGTGTATGGTGTCAACGATGCGAGTACCAACGGAAAAAGCGCCATGCCGCGACTTGCGTCCTCGTCTTCGATCCACCCACTATGCTGCGGTCACATTCCACGAGCTTCACCCATAGTCCATTCTTCCAACTTGTCTACCTACGTAGCTAGACCTTTTCTGCGTCATTGCAAAGATGAGCACGCAGGCCTCACTCCTGGATCCCGCATGTTGTTGGACAACTACTGACTGCGAGGGGAAAATGTGGCAGTGACACTACCTCATCCTGTCGTACACCTGCCGGCTCCTTGCTTGCTACCTCGATTCGCATGTGCTTCACCACTTGCAGGCGCACACACTCCATGATCTCAACTCGACGTTCCCATACGTATGTATCCGTAATTACCCTGGAAGACCGATTGACTATCTTCCTTTACATTTCCCCAAGTGGGTGGCCTCCCAAACAGCTAAGAAACTCCTGCCGCGATCTATCTCCCTCTCTCTCCCTCTCTTCCGTTTCTCGCAATTCCTCCCGTTCTCGCTTTCTTCTCCTTCATCATCTACACCAAGGTATGTGTGCGAATCGATGAGTTATGGACAAACAACTACGGCCAACGTAGTACCATGCCCGTCTTACTCAATCCATCTACCACACCCGTCACATGTTGTTAGTCTGACAGATGATAATGGCATGGATAGACCAGGCCAACCCAACTCGACCCGGGCCCTGTCATTCGGTCGAACATACCAAAGGGTGGTCAGGAGTGTACTATTCAGTCAGTTAAATGCCGGCGATGACAAGCAGCCCGTGCGTCCACAATAGCATTCAAATACGACCCAGACTCTGAATTCAGGCCTTCCCCATGGTTAGGCCGGCCGCCTCGGTTGGTTGGTGGAACAGGTGGAACACAAACTCGTCTTTGCGTTTAGCAATGGCCGCAAGTAAACGGGGGACGAGAAGGAGGAGCTTCCAGTGAGCTGCTTCACCTGGTTCTCCGATGATGTGTTGTTGTCTGCCTAGGTATGTAGGGTGAGTGAACTCCCATCCGGATTCAAGATTACATCGAAATCTGCACTCGGTTCTCAACTGGGAAGCCGGTGTACGTACGTGCCAACGTTCTCATCATGGCAGTCTCAGAGTCACAGAGAGGAGCACACAGGTTATAAGAGCGACGTTGGATCAAATACAACCAGTAATACATCTAGCAATGAGAAAGGACAATACACCGATGCTCTGAAGTGCCCATGCCCTGCTGAATCCCCCCAACGCCCGAATCAAAAGAAAATACCAAACAAGAATGCAGTCAAAACCAACCACCTCCACCCTGAACCTGCTGTTGCATCGTGAGAAAAGGCGAAGGGTCAAGGGTCAGCCCACGTTGTCTCCTTCCCGCAAACGAGAAAACCCAGTTGTCAGTGTGGCCTCGGGATACCAGAGTAAACCAAAAAGAGCCTATCCAGTGGGTTCGTATAGAAGAAAATGTTCTCAGTGAATGCGAATTCCAAAGGCCACCAACCGGACTGTTCGCCGTCCATATAGGAAGAATGGTCCAAAGCAGACCCCCGACCCCTTTCTGCAACGATTAAGGTCCTTGTCCCCCCCCCCCCCCCCCAACGCCAACGCAAACAGAAAGCCATTATTATGGACAAGCCGTTGTGTGTGTCGTGATCATCATAATCGTAACGCTCAACGAGGAATTAGACACGCCAGTGAAACGCCTCGGACAAGCCTCAGCGGGTATTTGTCCGTTTTTTTTTTTTGTGTTCGCCAACTCGTACGCACCCACCATGACAACGTGGGTGGATTGAGACGAGACATTCAAGAGCAGTCATCGCTGCTACTCTTTCCAACGAGCTAGGACCATTTGTACGCTCGTCTTCCAGGGCTTCCCTACAAGCCGTTGGAGACCTTACGTGCCGTGGCCGAAGGGGTCGCGTTGCTGACACTGCCGACGCGTCCGCTCGTCTTCCGCACGCCGTCCTTGGAGCGTAGAGGTGACTCGGCCCCCCGCTTGCTACCCCGGACTTTGGCGAGGACGCCCGAGGCGCTACTGGCACGCTCGCGGTCGATGATGCTCTTCGTCCGGGCCGGGCTGGTGATGTTTTCCGCGTCATGAGAAGCGTCGTCTTCGATGTACCTGTGGTAGACGGTGGTGGAGGTCTGACTATACGATCGCTTCTGTTCTGCGTAATACCCAGACTCGGATCCCTTCCCTTGTGCCCGAGACTTCACATGAAACTCCTCGTCGGACTCGGTCATTCCTGACTGCTGGTGAACACTGACAACATCGGCGTCTTCGTGCACAATAGTCTCCTCCTCCACCGTGCTGTACGAGGTGGCCCGCTGGTAGGGATGATGGCGGTCTGCGCGGTTGGTCTTGCGGGGTTGGCCAGGCGTGGGAGCCGGGAGATAGTCTTCCTGAACGCCAACGTTATTGCGCTCATCGTGGACTTCGCTCAGCGGGGACCGATTGGAAGCACTGCGACGGGCCGGGGTGGACGTCTGCCCATTCCGGAGAGACGTCTTCGACATGGCGCGGACCGGCGTACTAGGGGCGGGGGCGGCAGCAGCAGCCGCGGCCATCTCCTTCCTGAGCTTGCGCTCGACGCGCTCCTCTACCCACCATTCCCGGAAAGTGCCCTGGTTCATGTGCAGCCAGTGTTGCTGCGGTCCTACGACCATGCCCGGTCGCATGAAACGCATAAAGGCGATGACCTCGTCCGCTGTGAAGCCGTGGCGGTAGATCAGATAAGCGCCGATCAGACATCCCGTTCTACCCAGGCCGGCCTTGCAGTGAACGGCGATGGACTTCTTCTTGACCACAATGGTCTCGTGGGCCAGCCTGATGAACTTCCGAACGGTGTGCATGGTCGGGCAGGTGCCGTCATCAAAGATCATGTCCAGGTGCTGGATCCCCAACGCCTCGAAGAATGAAGGCGAGTAGAGGGGAGAGTTCAAGCGGACAACCAGGCCAATGTCCCTCTCCGAGAAGTGCTTGAGGACGTTCTTGAACGGGGTAGGAAGACCAGGGTGGGCTTCGACCTCGGCAACCGTCTTGGGGAGCGCATCCCATTCCGGGGTTCCCTCGGGGATTTTCGTCGTGGGAGAGTAATCCGGCGAGGCGAAAGCCAGAAAGTTTGGCGAGATCCAGTTGAAGTCACCGCTGTCCACCCTCTCAAACTTTTCATACTCGTCGAGATCGAAATTGTCCAGAGCGCAGCACCCCTCAGCCTTGGCCTTGAACACGCCGTAGACAACATCCTGAACGGTGAGGGTGTAATCGGCCTGGCTGTAGCCGGCGTCGCGGAAGGGCATCAGGGGCGGGTCGACCTGCGCCATGGGGGCCAGGGCGAGATGTGGGGGCCATCCTTGAATTAAGACCATATAGCAGGCGAGAATACACGCAGCGTTGGCACGGCCTAGACAAGTAAAAGTTCCTCTGTTAGTTTCATGTCTTGCCAGATACGCACGGCCGCTCTTTTCTCACGTACTCCTTGGGTCTGCACGGCTCCAGAAGACAATAGGTCGGTCTTTGTTCTCTTCGGCGCCGAGAACGTCATGGAAATACAAGGCGAAGCGGTAGAGGTGGCCAACGTGGAGAGGACCAAAGTCGTGGTGAAAGGCATTGTACAAAAGCATGTCATCGACGGTGAAGTAGTAGGGCTGCTGCTTTGGGGCTGCGGCTTTCGGGCCATGGGCGGCCCGTTGAGATCGCTTCCTCGGGGATTGTATGGTCTCGGGGTAAGGGAAGACGGTATCGGCTGTCGGAGGATGAACATATGCGGCGAGATAGAGCCTGTCTGTAGAGTATGTTAGGACGGAGATCGGACAGTGGATATAGAAGTAGGACGGGAAGAATGAGATCATGGAGTCCTCATGGTTGCTATGGAAAAACATGTTGCTTTACTGATAGGAAAATGAGATCAATTCTCCAAAAAGAACAGCACACAAAAAGAAGACGAAGGGGAAAAAACATGGGCGTAGATTCTCTCCGGAGCCCAACTTTGGCCTGGAAACAGGAAGAAAAACGTAGAAAGAGAGGAGAAAGCCATACTTGGAATATACTCAACGATCTGACCCATGTTCTGGGGAGAGCTTCTGGAAGAAGGGGCCATTTGTTCGGTGCTTGCTGCGTTTAATCGGATGCTGGTTCAACTTGCAGTCGTAGTGAGCGTACAGCTACCCGCGGCTAGGTGCAAGTGGCAGTCTCGACTTGCGGTGACGGACGCAACGGCCGAGTTCAGGGAAGGACGAAAGGAACGCCGCAGGACCCAACGCAGGACGGTGTGGGAAGGGGGCGAGCTCAACGAGGAAGCTTTTACTCGGAAGGGGTATAATATCGAATCGCAGCAATGCAGCGGGATAAGCCAATGTGTTAAGGATGACAACAGAGAGCCTATTTTTGCATTTGCCGGGAAACCTCGAGTCTCGCCTCAACGTCAAGAGGAACGGGCAGATGCGCACGAAGAAAGAAGCGGGCAAATGGGAAGACTGGTCAACGCCGAGGGGGAAATGCTGGACGTAAAGGCTAAAGGTGAAGATGAAGGGAAGGAGGATGGGAAAATGAAGCTATTGCGAAATGCTGCAGCCGTGGTCCAAAAGTGGTGTTTTTGTATGAGCACTTGGTCGGATGTTACTGTTGTTGTGAATTTGAAAATACAGGTACATGGTCTCCTGTGAGACGGGATTCATCCTGGAATCCCCTGTCCGCAAAACAGAGTGAGCCAATCGTGTGTCTTGGATGTCCAGTTGTCCTAGCAACCCGTACATGACACATCAGGTCCCTGGCCACTCCAGGAGGCATGTGGGGCATATCTCGTTTCAGTGACAGTTACTGCGTATTTGTATCAAAACAGAACTAAGCCACGTATAATTACGTGTGCACGCACCTCGTACTCCGTAGTTTCGCCGCGCCACATGTATGATACGCCACATTTTCAACGGTCTTATCGTTTCTAGTCGTGCTTATCGTTTGAACCCCACCCAACCGTCTGGCTTTGAGGGACCTCTGGTCATGGCGGGGCACGACAAGTTTTTTTTTTTTTTTTTTTTTTTTTGCCCCCGACAACAGCTTGAAGAATACCATCACAGTATCCGTGACATCGGTCTTCCTCCTTCCCTCACTCGTATTAATGATATTCTTCTTCTTCGCTTCCATCATCTGACATTGGCATTTCGTTCCATACCTTGTAAACGCAGCGAGAGAAGCAAAACGCACGTCATGACTGCCGAGACTCAAAATCCGAGCCAGGAAGATACGGAATTTCCCTGCTCCATGTACGTAAAGAGCCCATCCCTAAGCAGTAGAGGAAGAGGCCAATAACACTCGATGACATTGCTGTTTCGCTTTCCGACCTGGCTGACCTACAATGCTTTCTTTTCTTGTCCTCCTTTTCAGTGACATCGAAATCCCCTTCCACACCGAACGTCTCGCCGACGTAGCCCACAGGACACTCTCCGTCGACAAGGAGCTTTCCTCTCTTGTCAGGAGATCTTTCTCTCTCAGAAACCAGCCGCAAGAAGGGTCCCATGCCGCCGCCACCGTTCTGCACGTCCGGTACAAAGCAACGACGAATCGCATGCTACGAGTGGCTGTAAATGCCTTCATGGAGAGCTTGTACCTTGTCATCGAGGTGATGGAACATCTGGATGTTGACGTATTACAACAAAGGCAGCAGCAAGCGAACGGAATAGCGGAAGAGGGAATAACTGTCTAGTACATACAGTGCAGCCCGGCAAGAAGCAGGCGGCGAAGCAGGCTTAGGCGGTGGTAATAATGGGGTCGTCGCGAATCGTTGAAGTATCCGAGGCCACTGGAGTTCTGGGCAACACATCTGAAAAAATCGACTCGATACCCTATTCATTATACGAAGGTTCTGAACGCCTACGATGCCATTTGGCCTGGCATCCAAGTGCGATGCAAAGGCCCAGATTCCGTTTTATATAAACCTATACACCTACGTATATATATATATATATATATATATGTAGGGCACCTTCAGTCTCAGACACGTCTATAACCCGCCCCAGAGATACACGATTGAATGAACAAAACGACATTAAACGCTCAGGCGAACCGCCATCACATAACCGCCCGCCATCACCAAACTCCTCGCTCTTTTATATCACATGCTGTCGCAGCCAGTACCCGGCAAACAAGAAACCAGCCATCTCCCCTACCCCCCAGTGCCTGTATCATGAATCTAACCACTCGAGGAATGCGCCATCGAGCCAGTACTACAAAGACAACCCCGCAGGCGCACCATGCGCAGTGCGACTCCGTCTTGTCACGATACCGACCCCTTTTCTTTCTCCTCCAGCTTTTTCTCCGCCTTCTCTGCACGTGCTGTCGCCTCCGCCACCTCTTGCCTGAGCTGCTTGATGTACTCGATAGCCATCTCCACCGTGCTGGCCTTACTGTTGGGCACGCAGCCCGGTTTCCCTCCGTCCTTCTCACACTCGCTGCTCTTTAACTCCGTCGTGGCCGACTTGGGCAGCAACGCAGCGATTTCCTGCAATGCCGAATTGATGCGGTTTCTCCGGCCCTGTTCCGCGATTTTATGCGACGTCCGCTTCGACGTCAAGTTGGTGGAGAGCTCCATGGGGTACGTCACCCCGGGTACGGTGTTCCCCTCGAGGATGTTCTGATAATTGGATTTCGTTGCCAGCAGGCGCGAAGCCGAGTCTTCGGCCGTCAATCCCGGCGTCCCCGGCAGCAACGGCTTGATGTGGGGCGATATGCGCGGCCGGAGCGCGGGCGAAACGTGCGAGGAGCTGATGCTTCCCCTTTTCTTGCTGTTCCGGGGTGCCAGCTGGGGTGTTTTCCTCGGGGCGGGCCCGCTGGAGCCGGGCGCGATAATCGGGCTTTGGTTCGCTGACGCGGTTGTCCGAGGCTTGGCGAAAACGGGGGACGGCAGTGGCTGGAAGGCGGATACCCGGGCGGAGTTGGGTTCTGACGGGCATTGCACCGGCGTCCGATTCGTGTCGAGCGGGCTCAGCCGCATCTTCGCAAAATTGGCTGATTCGGGAAGTTCGAGATTCTCAATGTGCTCCGGCGCACCGCCTTCCTGTGCGCTGGAAGAAGTTGCGCCGCCATTGGCACTAGATGACGGCAATTTCATGAGCGACGCCGGTGTGGCGGGCGACGGCTTGCCCTGGATACCGGGGGGCAAAGCTGAGGGTGGAGCCGCCGCCGTCGCTAGCAATTTTACAAGCCTAGACTGAGGTGTGGGAGGAGGAGGCGGTGGCATTTCGGATAGGGCCGGCATGTCAGACAGGGTCTCGGGTGACACCGACGCGTTCTCGCTCTCTTCGCTGCTCATGGGCGCCGGAAGGAAGCTCGGTGGAAGTACCTGGTCCATCCCGTCCTCGGCCGATTCCTGGAGGTCGCTGAGAACCTGGGAGACCATCTGGGGAGTAGGCACCATTTTCTTCTTTTGAGGTTTTGAGATGGGCGATTGCCGCACGCTCGCCTTGCCTTTGGCTCGTGATGCGTTGTTCTTTCTAGCCTTTTTAGAGAGGTCCACTCCTGAAGCAGCGGCGGCGGGCGCACAATTCTCCAGATCCATCTCGCCGGGTGAGTTACGAGTGGAAATTGAGTTCCGTTGGTCATAGGGCGAGCTGGACTCGCTCTGAGCGTGGAGGGCAGGCGACGTAAGAGGGCTGAAGTAGGCGCCTGACAAGCCAAAATTGGCGTCCATCTGGAAATGGGGGTCTAGGGGCGTCACCGCAGGAGAGACGAGAGGGGTGAAGGCCATCTGGAGCAGGTCAATTAGCACGGGCGGCCCGGAAGCGGGGGAAAGATAGAAGTCGAGATCACACATCTTGCTGTTCCTTCATGTGTTGATAGCGAGTGTCAAACATGTTCTGTTGGTGTTGGTCGTGAGGGTAGAAATGGTTGCCATTGGAAGGCATCTCGAGGCTTTGCGGGGTCGGGGGCACTTGAGCCGAGGTCTGACTGGCATAGTAGGCGGCCTGCTGCTGAGCTTGTTGCTCCTGCATCTGGCGCTGCTGCTGCTGAAGAAATTGTATCTGCGCATCGATTTGGGAAATGGGGTCGTTGGGGGTCGGCGGATGGTGCATCATGTGTGCCGGGATAGAAGGGTGCGAAGCGGCGGAGCTCATGGCGATGAGCTGGGACTGAGCGGTTGTGTTATCGGACGCCGTCATCACCATGGTGGTAGCATCGGTGCTCCCTCTCATGGGGGTGTCGAGCTGATCGCGGGGATTTTGAGACATGATGGACGAGCCATGCCCGGGCTGGAAGTCCTGAAAGTCGAATTGAAGCGACCCATCGAGGCCGCCCGTGTCTCCCATATCGAGGAATTGCGGAAAGTCGTCATCATGGGATGGCGGCAGAGACTGGTCCTGGGTATTCCAGACGGTGGATTCCATCATGGCGACGGATTCCAGTGCAGGCCGTCTGGCCTGGACGTGCTCTCGTTGTTATGTTTTGCCTTCGGCGATTGCCGGGTGATTTCGTTCACAGGGGCTGTGATGGCGAAGACCTCGGGAGGACGATGTACTGTTGAGCCAAAATCCAGTTGCTGCCGAGATAGTCGGTGTGAAAAGCGAGCAGATGACGGCGATTGACGGAATTAAAGGCTCACGGCCGTTGGAAAACAGTCTAGAGAGGAATTTTCAACCCCCACTGCTTTCTCTCCGGGCGGGGTTCGGTCGGTCAGGGGACTAATAATTCGGGTGGAACTTTGGTGGGTTGGACTGGTTTATGTAAATCAACTTCGTGGCGCATAATGGTGCGGTTGGTGACTGTCACGGGCGGAGGAAAAGACGACGGAGTACTTTCGCACAGCGCTTGTCTGTTTTAGCTGTTGCTCCAGGTAGCCAACCCACTGCGGGAGCTTCAACCGTCTGGCCAAAGAAGGGCAACAGGAGCACGGGGTCGCATCGAGACGCTCAAAGCTTAAGGTAGGTACACCTAGTAATTACTCGCAGATGGCATGGATAGCACGGACCCCAGGATTGAACTGTACGCACGGAGTACGAAAAAGCGAACGGAAAATTCATGTTACCTAAGGTAATTATAAAATAAAGTACCTTAGGTAAGGTAAGGTAGGTACCTACCTAGGTACAACGTAGATGCGTGGGGTGAGTGGGCTTACGAGAGTGTACCTTATACAACGTACTTTGCACGGGCCTCGAACGCCCTAAAATACCAAGGAAAAGTGACCTCAGGTACATAAGTACGTACAACTGCCTCAAGTACCTTATCTAAGGTATGGTGCCTTACATTATATGATCTTAGTGGACGGAGTAATTACACTGTGGGATCGATGCCTTCGCCGGTTTAGGTACGGTACCTAAGGTAGGTAATAAAAGGTGGGCAGACTAAGGTAAGGTATCTTATTATGAGCTACGGAGTATTCGTACTTCCTCGGTTCCCAGGTTACAACGTCCTCGTGTACAGAGTACAGAACGCATAGTACCTCATTCTGCCCGAGTTGTACGTGTAATAAACGCCCATCAAAGAGCCTTCGCTTAGTAGGTACTTTGTACAGTCTTCCAGGGCGGCTTATGCTCAGTTTATACCCCACCATCGTTGTTACAGTGCCGACTGGACTGTCCATATCCCGTACCATAAGGTACTTTCTTCCACGGTCTCCCTCCACTGTCACGGTAGGTACTTCGTAGTTGCGTCGTCAACTCATCATCGTAGAGGCGAGTATGCGTTTTGTTACACCTAAGGTAGGTCTGGCGCCTTGTTGGTATTTACTTGGCTCCCACGATTAGCGGCAACGACAGTCTCCAAACAAAGCTTCCTGGTCAACGGTTGGTTTCCCTCCTGTCTCTCGCTTTCATCGTCCCACTTCTATCATCTTGAGCAGACGGGTGCTCCCGTTAGCTTGAGGAAGAACAAAGACACGGACATAGTGTCAGTGCCTCCCGAATATCGATGGCATCTTCGATCTCGGGAGGGGTCAACCGCTCAATGGCTTCTAGTAATGGGGCTGGTCCTAGTAGGTCGATCACTTGGACCACCACCCACAGGAAGCTGCAGAGTCTCCCCCTTGATGTGATTATTGCTAATTGGGGCAAGAGAGCGGCTCGGGTTCCCCTTCCCCGGCCATTCTGGTCGTTTCTAGCTCCCTGGAGTGCGTCTGTCGAAATCTGGCTCCCCAGGCAAGAAGCACTGGGGCAGAAGATCGAATTCTCCGCGACGACGGCAGCGTGGCGACTCGGGCTGCACATCATGTCACATCGGCCAAGGGCATGCCGTGTCAAACCTGCCGGGTACCCGCCGTGTCCTTCGCTGCAGCTTCTAGAAGTTCTTGGTCCCGGCAAACACCCTGGCATCGGCTCGCTCGATCAGGTGGTTGGCCATAGTACACTGCATATCAACCTGCAGATAATATCGAGAGCATCCATGTGACGGGTTGACATCCTGGTCGTCAGATGTTTCCATCACCTCACTCTCTACGACCAGATCGTGAGAGATGTTTCTTCTTGCGTGTGATATAACAATAGCAGGCAGCCTTTGTTGATAGGCACATGAAGCCCAAGGTCTTTCTCAACCATCTCTTAACGAGGAATACAAAGTACATACGAGGCGAAAACATCTCGGAGGTTTAGGGACGTGATTGATTCCCAGAGCCCTCGACAGCTCCACCTCGCCACCCATTTCCCTCCGAGCTTGCGCATACATGGAAAGCACCGAAATCGGACAGAATAGGAAGGCGGCCTACTCTTCAGGTTTGGGAAACCAACAGAAGCTGTCATCCCGCGAGGGGCACCTGCAGGAGATTCAATTCGGAGTGCATTTGCTGCATGACCACCGTCTTGGCCACGGTTAGGTCCCAACGCTGATCACGGGTTCATCTTCTTTTTTTTCCCGGGTGAATTCGGAACCCTCGATGCAATCGGATCCGAGCTGGGGCCGGCAGGTTGCTGGACACCACATGAGGTTTGTCAGTGAGGCTAAGGGAAGATTTCAATTCCCGCAAGAAACGAAACTAGCCTTGCCTAGGTGCCCAGAAAAGGGGCCAGCCTTGGCCTCCTGTGTCAGCCGACGTGCATCCTTGCCTTCATCTTCCCTCCTCTCGCCAGGGCGACATCGGGCGATCCCGTTATGGCGGCACTTGGTTCGTTTTGTTTCCAAGTGAGGCAGGGCCTGTCTTCTTGCCGGCCGTCCTGCAGTCTTGGGGCAACACAGCCACAACGGGGCTAGTTTCGTGAGATTCATCTCGATCAGACCGTAAGAAGGGGAGATATTGAAAAGCTGGACATGGTGAAGTACCCCATGGAGGTTATGGGCGGCGAACCTCGATTTGGCTATGTGAAGAAGTACTTTGTATGCCTACGGAGGTTGCGTGTGAGATAACTTCACTGGTCAAGGTGATTGGAGGCCCCATGAGGCCCATGACATGAGTACCCATTCACAAAACGACAAGCCCTAATCCGAGGGCCCTGACGATCTCGATAATTTCCAATATGCATGTGATCGAGGGGGGTAACAAGGGCAATTAATCGTATAGACTTCTTAGGTGGTGTTGCGTGAAGGTGGTTAGAGCTGTATCATGTTAAAGTACAAGTACAGGTACGTTGTAAATAGGTCGGAAGTGTACGAAGTACACGTACAGTAGATCGGACCAAGTGGACCGGGTCACTGGAGAGACGGTAGGGCGGAGACCGGCAGGGGCTGCTGGGTGGGGTGGGGGCCGGACCCTCCTGCTTCGACGCGTCGTCGCCGTTCGCTGCACCACGTGCTAAATCCGTGGACATCTGCAAGGGTCCCGACGTCACGGACATGTCCGCTAGCAGCACTGGGCTCGCTGGTACCCAAAGGCATGGGCAGCCGGGTAAAAGTACGAATAACATATGCGTGGGTATCTCGGGAACCGAATATGACGCATCCGACGACGCATCCCGCGGCCCCTTTACCTTACCCTAGTGTTGCTCACTGTAAGTGGATGGGTATTGTGTGCGTACTGTGGGCGCGCCCGGAAATAGTGGTTGCAGATAAACTGATGTTGAACTCGGAGGCTGAGCTGAGGGTAGGTGTGGGTCCGAGTGGGGCGAAAAGTTGAGCTGAGGGTTGCTGTGGGGCTATGTACTAAGGTCATGTGACTAGATATCTTAGGTAACCACCCGTATAATAGGTAGGCAAGGGTTACTATAGGGCTATATATTAAGGTCACGTGACTAAGTATCTTAGGTAACTACCCTTATAATATCTATAGGTAGGTAAGGGTTATTATAAGGCTCTTTATTAAGGTCACGTGACTATATATCTTAGGTAATACCCTTATAATAAGTAGGTAATATTTATTATAAGGCTATTTATTAAGGTTATATAACTAAATAAATTAAGTAACTACTCTTATACTTAGTAAAAGACTTTATAATAATATAATAACCCTTAGTAGAAATAATCCTTATAATACCTTAAGGTATTTAACGCGATCGCGAAATAGTTCGACCAATTAATTAAAGGCGTAAAGCCCCGTACCTACCCTCACCTCAACTTTTTTATCAGCCACGCCCCACATCTACCCTCAGCCCAGCCACCGAGTTCAACATCAGTTTACATGTAACCTCCGGAAATACGCATCAATCCAACCTGAAATAGGAGGCTCTTGACCACGTCTTCAGTTTTCCATCTGCGTTGGGGTACTGGAAATGTACCGAAGTCAAGAACTGACGAAAGATGTAGGGTTCTATTTGGTGGCCAGAAGAAACGGGGGTTCGTTGAAGCACAATTCCTACCTATTACTGCCTCCCTCCTTTAAGCTAAGATTTGCCCCTGAGTATGTTCCGAATGAAAGGCCTCCCCTACACCTCATCGGTGTTCCGGCATCGTGTTGACAACCACACTTTTCGCCAGAGATGGGTCCTCTTCGAATACCATATCCATTGCCTCCCTGCAAACCGTAACACCCCACTCACGAGCCAAGCTTTCAGCAAGTCCATCCAGCCTTATTACCTCATGCTCATCATCAAGCTGCTTGTATAAGTTGCAGAATCGACGCACTGCGGAAGTCCGTTGACTATCGTCGACTCTGTCCCAGTTTCTGCTCTCAAAGAAAGCAACCACCGTTCGTAATTCCTGCTCCAAGGTAGTCGTACGTGAGCCTGCTGTCTGACGAAAAGACAAGCCAAGGGAAAGGGCCTGTGTAACATACCATAGGTTCCCCTGGGATTCGGGCGTTTCGGTCATGTTGAAGATGATGAAGAAGGAACACTTTGCTTCCTCTTTGTGGACAACACTATCTCGCAGTCAGGCGAGGGCCGCTTCTAGCTAGGATGAGCCTGGAGAGATGGTGGTTATCAAAAACGGATTCTCTGCCCGTCAGTCGAAGAGCGAAGAGAGTTGATATCTACCAGCTTCTTCCAATTCCACATGAAAGGAAGGCTATCGAGCAACAGCAGTTACGGTTCCTCGATACAACTGGCAGGCCCTCCTAAGCTTCGTGTTACGTAGTATCTGGCAAGGAAGGAAGCAAAAGTTGCTGTTGCCGTTTCCAACTACCTCAGCCAGCAGTCGGTGCGATTCAAGCACCCTACTGTTGTAGGATGCAGTTGAGTCGCGGTTCTTGGAAGATGTGGCCTGCGCCAAACCGTGTACGTGAATGTTCGATACGTCAGTCTAGTGACGGATAGCTTGGTGCGGTCCGGTTACCGACGAGTCAATTGCCCCGGGATGGCTACTATCGAGCTGAGTAGCCCCTGTATCTATATTTCCTCGGCCGGCACCATCCATCAAGGGAGCAAGAGAAAGCCTTCGTCCAGTTTATCATAATGACCCTTCAGTAAACAAGACGCTGGCCACTGCTCACATCAGCGTTCATATCATGACACAAGTGTAGAAACGTCAACTCGAAAGCTGTGTATTAAAGCACACATGTGTAGCTGCTCTAGTCGCCGATCTCATCACGGATATATACATGCGAGGACCTAGCTATATGCGCATGCGTCCTTTTGTCTTGCACCCCAGACTCAGCTTCCTCCATGGCAAAAAAGAGTTCGCCCCATACCCCTGGGGTATGCGCGCGCCCTGGGCGGCGAACCTCATCCTGATGGCATAGCCATCTATATCGTCTTGCCAAAAGCACATCCCCTCAGGGAAGGAATTACATTCAAATGACCGATGCAGATCGGTCAGCCAGAGAGACGCAATGATCCGGCCAACGAAACAAGAAAAAAGAAAAATAAAGAACGAAAAGAGACGGAACATGCAGATGACGTCTGTGATACTGGAAGAACAATGGTATCACGGAAAGGACTGATTCGAACTGAATGACCAGCCTAGGTGGTCTGCGACATTGCCAAAACAAGCGAAATATGAGAGAGGGAACGTCCAAGAAACCAAGGCCGGACTTTGTACAGGAGGAAATATATGCGACTATGTGCGTGCTGCTGGAGGCAGCAGGAAAATGTGCATCCACGAGGCAGGTGGATTGTACCACAAGTTAGGTACCGAGACGTGGAAAATTCCGTGGCGACAAGAGTGCCGGAAGCAAATGGTAAGACGGTGATGGAAGAAGAGAGGATAATGTGATTGGATGGAGAATGCGGGTTGGAGGAATGACAGATGGCACCGTCCATCTGAATGTCTAAGAGACCTATGGTATTTGATCGCCCTTGACCATCTCGAGAGGCCCTTTGAACCTGTGTCAAAAAGCGCACAAGGCGAAGAAATGGAGGCTTGTGCACGTCAAGCTCGAGTATTCCGTTCTCTTGAGAGTCGTCGAGCTGCACGACACGCCGACGAGATTCTTTTGTCGTGCATTATGTGTCATCGACAGAGAGCATCCTCAAATCCGGACCCTGCTGTTGGCGTAGCCGGTATTGTTGTCATCGCCGAGTTTCAGCCAGCTCATATCAGACGAGGTCGACGGTGTTGTCATGTGCGGCCTCCTGGAGGCATCATTCAGCACAGGAGGCGGCTGCGGCTGACGTGTGCTTGGTGCGAGCGAGGTCGGGTGATAGAACGTTTCGCTATAAGCGCTGCTCGGTGCTCGCTCAGAACCCCACGGCTTCTTGTCCGTGAGGGGATCGTACGTGTCACGGACGCTCTCCGGCACACCACTGGAGTATCCCGAGGAGGCCGCCGACACGGGCCGCTCGATCTTGCCGGACATCTCCTCGTGTCGCCAGTTGGCGTTGTTGTAGTTGGAGATGGTTGGGCTTCCGGACATGACGCGGTTGATCTGCGGTCGACCTTCCATACTGAGGTTGAGTGGCGGGACAGTCGCCGAATCCTGGGTGACGCGATGGTGGGTGTTGGAGTAATGGGAAGCATCCGACCCGACGGTCGTCCGCTTCTGGTTGCCGTAGCCTAGGATGTTGAGGGCGCTGCCGCCGGACCAGTATCGGTTCCAGCCTGAGCTACGCCGTGTTCCATCGTCTTGGGCCACTCCAGGTGGCGGCACAGGACGAGGCTGGCCACCGGCGACGTGCGCTGCAGAGGCAACACTCTTCTCATTTCGTGTTGCTGTTTGGCCCTCCGTCTTGAGGGCCGCTTCGTCGCGCATCTGGGGAATCGGGTGGCTGATTTTACCTTTGATTCCCTTGTTGAAGGAGCTACTGGTTGAGCTACGCCGGGGTGCCTGGCTGCGCTCCTGTTTTTGCCCCGGCTTCTGCTGGTTCAGCTGCCCCATCAGGATGGCCATTGATGAGAAAGAGCTTTGGGACCCAGCAGGCTGATGTCCACGGAAGCGGCTCTTGTTCGTGGTCATGACCAGCTGCTTCTCAAAGTCGGACTCCGCCATCATTTCCGATCCGGCATTGCTCGCTGACCTGTCCAGATTGCCATGAGGCGGGTTATGTCGTTGCATTGCCTTTCGTCGAATCAAGCAGAGAATGAGACCGAGCAAGAGAATGAATCCAGTTATAGAGCCAAGCACGATCCCCAAAATGGCATTCGAATCCAAGCTGCTCCTCGAAGAACCTCCTACTGCAACCACGGGAGTCTCGGAGGCGGAAGCTGTGGCCGAAGCGGGGACTGCGCTGGAGGGAACAGTCGAAGCGAGTCTCGTTGCTGAAGATGAGATGGACGATAGAACCAAGGAAACAGAGCTGCTCGCGCTCGCGCTGGAGCTTGCCTGGGTACTGGTGCTAGTGGAGGATGCCGAAGCAGAGCTGGAGCCGAGAGAAAGGACTTGTTGTTCTGATGCCAGAAATAAACCGGCATCTTCCCAGGCATTGTTCCGGATGTCAAATATTGTGAGAGGACTTTCAGGATTCCCACCGGCGAGAACCACTAGGCCGTCGGGGCTCTGGGCCAACGCGAAGTTGACACGAGCAACCTCTGGGACGTTCGTGTCGTTATACTGCGGCCAATCCTCCAAGGTCAAGTCTCTTCCCAACAACTTGGGGGAGGCGCGCTTTCTGGACGAAGCGCCATGGTCCTCGGAGGACTGCGAGACGGAGGTGGAGATACCCACGGGCGCACCGCCTGCACCGGCCAATACCATTCGATCGACTTTGTTCGGAACTTCGCTCATGTCAAAGGTCATCAGATTTTTCGATCCATCATCTCCTTCGACAAGAACGGCTTTTACCGCTGAGATATCCTTGCCGAGAGGTTGCGCTAGAGTGACCCCCGAGTCAGCCCAGTCGGTCTCGGGACTGAAGAGCATGACGGCGGTATTTTGGCTATCTCCGCCCACCATGACGGCTTGCGAAGCTGACCAGCGAAGCAGAATGGGATTCGTCACAGCGGGCGCAATTGAGTCGTGTGCCCGGACTTCGTATGGTTCAGAGGCATCGATGGTGAAGGTCGATGAACTGATGTGCTGGACGCCATCTGTATTGCCGGCGTACGTGACTATTTTATCGGTCGCGGGGAGATAGACTGCGCCGTGCCACCTGCGGTCTCGTGCCACTGGTTGAGTGTGAATGATCTCCCAAGTCCCTGTAGAATACGTGTACTTTTGGAGGCCGGGGTAGTCGGGTGTGCTTGCTTGTCCCCCAATAATCCATAATGCCGCCCGGCTTGGGTCCTCAGGTGTTGTGCCGACACACACTCCCCCATCTACCGCCTGGCCGGCTTCAAGACGCCGCCATTTCGCTCCTGGTTCCAGTGGCAGGGCCTGGAAGGCACCGGCCGAAAAAGTGTAAAGAGTGTTGTCCCATATGACGGAGCAAATATGATCGAGTGGATACTCCGGGTCGGGAACGGAAAGGTTCGACATCGTGATCCCACTTTCGACTGGCGGACGGGATACAAGATAAGCTGGGACCAGGAAAGAAAAAAGAAAAAAAAAAGTGAAGAAGGATGAGGTGTCCGTCCTCGCTGCTATTCCCCAGTGGCTCGGTTCCTAATATTGCATGGCTAGATACTGGTAGTACCCGGCGTATTGATTGTTGTTGTCAGGCTTCAGGAGTCGTCCTGTATCCCAGGCTCCTTTCTCTGTGGATGAGATCTGGATGAAGAGAAACGGCGTGGATGACACGAACTTCTCACGGGAAACAAATTCGAGGAAAATGTGACCAGCGGCGGCAGGAGCCCGGCAAAGCGTCGAATCGAAAGCCGCGAGAGATGGAATGGGAGGCGGTTCGATACTGGCCGAACAACGCGAGAGCAAACGTGAAGGCTGCGATAAGAGCTAGAGCGGATGATGGCAGTCTCTAAGACATGCCAGAGAGACCGTCAAGTGAACCAGGTTTGATCGACAGGAGAAGATTTTCTCGTGTTTGCCAACGGCAGTCGGCGAGGGAGAGATGATGGATGCACGAGGTCGTCCGGGGGTCTAGGGTTTCTGAGGGAGTAAGTGTCGCAGCACTGTCCCTTGGATGCCCAGTCTCTCGAGGTTTGGGAAGAAACAAATGTGTCAGATGTGTCGTGCGATGAGAGGCTGCCCTGCAGATACGGCCCTAGTACGTGCAGACCGAGACAAGCAAGGTGTTGGCTCGTGAAAAGTGCGAAACAGAAGCTAAATGATTTCGAGGATATCTTGTCGAAACGAAACGGCGGAAGAAGACAAACGTGCCAGACGAGGAAGAGTGGTCGAAAAGCAATGGCAATCAAAGCATAAGGATACTCGATTCAGCCAAAATGTCCTGTCCTGTCTCATCGACTCACAAATGAGACGAGCACGCGGCAGAGTCCCGGTGAGAGAGAAGAAACCGGGGAAAAAATGAGAATGAAAATCGCGAGTGCGCAAGAAAAACGAACGAAACAACAGGAGCAGAGAGAAAAAAGGGGGGATGTGGTTAGCAGGAACAGGAGGAGGCGGGAGAGGGTGCACAGGACACCGGAAGTCAGGCCCAAGTCAGAATTGCGGCCGATGGTTTGGTGCTGGGCCTTCCATCTGCGATGACCAGGCGAGGATACGCGAAGACAGGGGGCGGCATGAGAGTTGAGTTGAACAGCGAATCAGGAGGTACAACATCCCAATGTTAGGATCCTCGAGCAGGGATAGAACGTCGGAGTTTCAAGTAGCCATTAACTCGAAGCTACTTTCAATTTCCGGTAAATAGAGTGTGGAGTTAGGTATTATACGGGGTCATGGTACTTGGGTCGATGGGTCCGTTAAATCAGGGGTTGGGAGAGGGATCCGGACCAGGGTACGGGGTAGTATCCAGGGGATATAAGGGGGAGACACACTCTTGGTCCAATCAGGAAGGCGAGGAATTTCCGTGCCTGGCATGGCATTCAGCGGTAGAACCGACGTTCCTGTTGGATCTTCTGGAGCGTACGTTGTATGGCGCGTTATGCAGAGCAGCCGTAGTGCTAGGCATTAGGTAATTAACGGTCTACGAAGGTTGAGGACCGCCTCCAGGGTGTAAGTCTGAAGGAGTGAAATGACCGATGATGCTCGAGCAGCTCATACTCCTGGTCCTCAAGTCGAAGATGACTGAATATTTGCAACCTTTGCTGATGTAAGGCGGGCCCACTATAGGTCGGCATGGTACTCGGCTTTATTGAGAAGAATACACAAAGAACTGGCGAAGCTTCTCAAATCGACGCTTGAGAAGTGTCGTCGATGTTCAACGAGGATTTGACACGTACGTGTACAGATGGAGGTGAGATCTGAGTCTGAACACTGGCATCTCTGTCGTCATCCCCAATCTTTGGTAGTCTCCGCGAGGAGAAGAAAGAACGAGAGAGAAATGGATCCATACCTTATCCATCCAGTGGTTATCTTTAATTGGTTCTATTGTGAACAGACCTTGCGACTGAAACGCGCTAAAAGGGGGCTTTGGGCACCTGCCCCACTCTTGGTCCAAACGGGTTCTGGGGCCCTTCAATCACAACCCATGGACCCTGTTCAACTCGATTACCTAAGGCAGATTGTTCGTACGTTGTAATCACACCCCAAGCGATTGTGGTTGTCGTTTCAGGGGAATGGGCCAAAAACGGCGGCATGGCACCAAAGGCCCAGTATGTATGCATAGGTATGTATAGTCGACCGTATAGTACGAATATGAATTAGACTCGACGTCCATCGAGGGGGATATCAAGCGTGATACCGATACGTACGGTACCTTACCTATATCAGAAAAGACGCTCAGGTGAGTAGCCAATGATCCTCTACGTTTGGCCGCCGTTGCACGCCAAGGCCGGGTAGCTTGTCATGTGGATGAGTTACTGACAAACTCCTCGACGACCTTAAACTGGCGCTTCCATAGCATTCTGGGACTGTTTTTTCTTTTCTTTTCTTCTTTTCTTTCTCCCCCTCGAAATTCAGCACCATCGTAAACCAGGCAGGAGCCCGAACTGACAGCGAGAGAATCCGACCACAGCCCTGTTCAGCCGCCACAGATGACCACAACAGGACAGGTCGTGTGCGTGTTCCAGGTGGACAGTGAAGCTGACATCTCTCGCACGCATTTCGCGCACCAGCTAAGGTAGCTTTTGAGACGAACTTTGGGCAGAAACACCATTACAACCCCTATTATAGATCTGGAGATGCTCATACCTTCTTCGACCCGCCGATCTACTGTATCTCGACTGGAATGGACCAACCCATTGTCCAGTGGATGTGTGATATCGGATCTAGGCGGGCCTAACCCAACATGAAAACCTCCACCCGGGAGATCCGCAAGCCCATCTCCGATGATCATGTCTTTCGAGCTGGCGTCCGGCTCATAACAGCGCATTACTTACGGATAGGTCCAACACACGAGAACTAGGCCACGAGGTAGCAGAATGCCCACTAGCCGCCATCACTCGTAGTCGGTTTTTAAATAAAAATTCGTCTTATTAGTTCAATGGCAGAACACAATACTTCTAATATTTCAGCGAATCTAAAATAAGACTTGAAATAGTAATTTTTAAATTATTATTTTCAAATCAACATTTGTTGGCTCTGAATGAATTCCTCATAAAGCTACCTAGCGCTAATTAACATGTTCTCCGAATAACAAGGCCCATCGGGCGAGATGGCGTCAATTTGCCGACCCCAGTAGTTCCATCATTGACAGCCTTAGTCAATTCTTCGTCTGTTTGTCCTTTGCCTCGTAAACCATTCTGAATATATGGCACTTCCCCTCGGCTCATCATCGCCTTCTCTGCGTCCTTCCTTTTTCCATTTCTTTATTATTATTATTATTATTATTTGTTAGTCGACGAGCCACTACGCGTGGGTGATTAGCTGAGTCGGCCAAAACCAGTACGCATAACACTGATGACATCCCAGACATAACCCCTTCTGACGTGTGCTTCAAAACGCTCTGTTTCACTTTGCATTTAATGCCGCTGTATATGCCGCTGGTAGTAGCCCTATCGCTGGATGACCTGATCTATGCAGGTCGCGATGCCATAATCCACCTCTGAATTCTCATTCGTTTTTTCCATTCCCATGTTCCTCCCCTTCCCAAAACCAGTGGGAGCACGCTTCATAGTTTTCGCTTCTCGGGGCCAATCTGCTTGTTCATTGGCCCGAGTGTAATTGCACATGATAGAATGACAGAATGACGAGAAGCCCAAGGTTAAGAAGACGGTCAAGACACCATCATCAGGCTCCTCTGATCCAGTTCCATGCCGGTCGTAAATTGGATGCCAGGCATTTCCTACACGCTGGCGAATGCATTGGCGGGCAGCACGGCCTATCGGCAGTATTAGCGAACTGATCATCGAGGGGCGTAGGGCGTGTAACATTAACTTACCTTGGTTTCGTGAAACTTAGCAACGGCCTGGTCAAAGTCCCACCCAACTTCCGAGAGACACATCTCCGAATAGGCGGGGATCATGTTTGTTTGTTTTGACAGCTCCGCGATCTTTGCCTGGCGGAGTGCCTGGTCATCTGACGGTTCCGGCTGGGCCGTACCCGCGGCGAAGATGTTGGGGAGAGGGTTGTAGGCTCGCAAGAGGAGCATGTCGCTAACGACCCTAATAGGGTTGTTTCCGGGTCGGCCGGGGCCCAGGACGAAGGAGCGGGAGAAACTTCGCAAGCCTCGTTGACTAGACGCTGCGTCGTACTCCTCAAACTGACCGTGTACCGAGATGATCATTCCGTCATGCCCGATGCCTGTTGAGCCACTGGGATCCGCGAGTCCCGACAGCAGATGGCAGTCCATGATGTACTTGGAGATGTCTTCCTTGATATTCGGATGTTGTGTTGCCGGGAGCTCGCTCCAAATCTTGAAAATGGACTCCCTGCCGGTGAGAAGCCTGGCAGCCCGTGCTCCCGGGGTGGTGATTCGCGTGAGATTCCGCGATTTTGGTATGTAGGTCGACCAGGACAGCGGCGGAGGAGCATCCTTATTACGGATCGAGTTGGTATCGACGGCGAGGGAGAACTGGCTCTCTTCGTCGTAGTATTTGGCGAGAAGCCCGTGGCGGTCGGCATCAAATGCCGCGAAGAAATCGACAAGAAACGTCTCGCCTATGCCATTGGCATCGCGGAAGTCGGGGCCGTGTTGGGGAATCGGCGCAGGGCGAGTGGCCGCCCGAAGTTGTTCAATATGTTCCGGCGTCAATTGCTCGCCGTTCAAGTCCCGCAACTTGGGAAAATACTCCACAAGCGCTGCCCGAGTCTTGAGGTCTGCCACAGGAATGGGATTTCCGTTTAAGTGGAGAGTCTCCAGCTTCCGGAACTTGCCCTTCCACGCCGCCAATTGGGCGACGGTGGATATTTGGTTACCGCTGAACTCCAAATGCACGAGGTCCGGGAATGTGTCCGCCAGCTCTTCCACCTGCGTGGCGTTTTCAATGCCATTATTGGCCAGGCTGATGCTCTGGATGTTGTCAATCTTGTCCTTGGCTGTCTTGAAGAGCTCGTCGCATATCTTCATCATGACCCTGAACATCTTTTCGACCCGATCCTTGGACTCCAAGATGCCCATTGCCACAAGAGCCTGGTCCTGGCTCAGAGCGTCGAGCTTCAACAGCTTCGTATCGGTCATGTACCGTTGTGATAGGACATCGGTGAGCTTGCTCTTCACATCTTGAGCTTGGGCGGAGGCAGCGTTGGCTTGAGCCAGCGAGCCGTCGGAGTCTGAGATTTCCAGCTTGGCGCCGGCAAAGCTGAAATTGTTCAGCTTGATGATTTCCTCCGCATCCTCCTTGCTAGATGCAATCTGCACCACCGCGCCTCTCATGTTCGACTACCGACAGTTAGCAAAATACTTTCGGCCAGAGAATGACAGTGCGGCCACATGTATAAGTAGACACAGTATGGGAGTAATTTTCGCTCTCGTTCCGCGGCGTAACTGGCGATTCAACGAGCTTGGACCATTCGGCACCCCTATGTGGCTCCCTTGAGCATCGCCGATAGCTAAACATACCTTCTTGACCACCACTGGTCTGATCCTTGATGCCACGCCGGTCGCCTTGCGTTCCAGAAATGCAAGCAGATCCCGCAAACCGCCGTCCGGGTTGCTCGCGGCCTTGCTCTCCTTCAGACCCTTTACCTCTAACCAGACGAGAGGGCCTCCCTGTGGTTTCCTCTTCGAGACCATGTCTGTGCCTTCGCCACTCAAATGACGAGATATGACTTGCTGGATCTTTGTAGTGCTCCGAGTGGTAGCCCCTTGTCTCTGGGGTCTTCCAGTGCCGGGATCAGTTGGAGGAGGCCTGTTGCTGCGGCGTGCTCCACTTCCAGCATCCATGTCAAGATCACCATCCCTATCGACTCGTATTGGGCGGCTGCGCGTCTTCTGAATGCCACCTCGTGTTGACTTCCTCGGCGCGGATGTTGTCGACCCGCGCGACTGGCCGCCGCGGCCTCGAGTAGGAGGTGCCATCGCAGAGTATGGAAGATAAATATGTACTGTTTGTCCCGTATTGGAAGTAGGAGTGAGGATTTTGGGTGGTCGACGTAGATGAGGGGGACGTTCGTGAGGTGGGCTCTAGGACTGTGAAGTTGCGTTTGCGACTTCTTCTTCTTCTTATTCTTTTCCTCCTTTTATTGGGCGTCCCTGGTGGGAACGTCGATGTGGTTCGATGAACCCAAGATCGAGAGTCGAGAAGAGGAACAAAGGGGACAGACGGATGGGAGGAGCGAGGATTAGGACAAAGGCGATGAGGGTCCGCGATTTATTTAGACAGATGCAGTTGAGATGCCGGCTGTCTTCGCAGCGAGGAAGCGCGAGACAATGGCCGTTCCGGCCAGGTGTTTAAAACGGTCGAGTCGAGCGGCGCGCAAAGTTTGACAATAGAAATTAACTTTGCTGGCGGGCGAGTATGTGAGCCGAGCGTTGAACACCCTGGCGCATTGACAAAGAAGGATGGGATAGTGTGTGATAGGTGAAAGGTGTAGTTGAAAGGGGAATGTTGCGATTGACGTAGGAAGGAAAGGTGGTTACAGAGCAAGGCTAATAAAAGGAAGGCCGTTGGTGGATGTTGTCTTCCTTAAAGAGAATTTCTTGGCCTGCCCCAAAGTACGTTCCACCAACAAAGGTGACGGGGAGAGGCACCGAGGCAGGCCAGGCAGACATGGTGGGGTCACGAGGCTACCAATAGGAAAAGGGAGAAACCGTCTCCACTTGTCATGACGAAGTTTCCGTCCTAGTGGGGAAAGTTACCTTTCGTGTCTGAGGTACACGTAGAAGGGAACTCAGAGCAGGCTACCTAAAAGTCCAATGCAGTTGAGTCAAATGATAAGAGATATTGGTGATTATTACCGAGAAGTGGAAAGGCCGTGGAATATTCGCAAGAAAATCTTCCAAACGTACCAACAAACAGCCTACAAACAGCTCACAAACCAAAGTGAGAGAGACATCTTCGGTACATCCCTGGGTCATGTTGTGGCCATTAATGGATGACTCATTCTAGGTCATGTGATCCGGAGGCTGTTTCGCGTCAAAAAGAGCCTTGACGCGCCAGGGCACGCGGCGTTTGTCGTAGCTGCTGAGGTACCGAGCAACTTCTCCAGCAGTCATCTCCATGTTGACGAATGACGATTGACCATTATTTCATCGCAAACAACACACCTCGACTCTCTTTCAAGCGGCGTCGCCATGTTGACCATGACATTTCACTAGCGGCGGCCAGATAATATTCCATTCAAGCATCGAAATGCACCGTAAAGACGTCTTCGGGAGAGTGACGCCTTAATCGCCATGCCCTCGACTTTTACGTGCCACGCCTGTCACCTCTAGTCCATCTCTCTCAGCTTGATCCCCGACCCGCCGCTATGGACTCTGACGAATATGATGACGACCTTGCTGATGAAGACTTGGCACAAGCTTTTGAACAGAGCACCTCCGGGCCCTCGTCAGCGCCCGGGTCAAGCTCCACTCCCAACGCCAACTTCCACTTCCCTACTCGGCTTGTCAGCGGGGATAGCAATGTCTCGCAGAACCAGAACCAAGTTGAGGGTAACAACTTGACAGATCTTCCTGACGGCGCCTTCTCATCCTCTCCTGAGCAACAGCCTTCTGCATCCACGAGACAGGTGGCTGTTTCGACGAAGGCAGCGAGGCGTCCTCCCCAACAACGCTTTGCTAGAACAGGGTCAAATTCGTTCCGCCAGACCAATCTTTTCGGTGAAACTATAGATGACCATGGAGAATCTCACGCCTCCGCCTCCCAGCCTGGTTTCGGGCGAATCTACCGTGGGAACAACCCGGAAGGGCCATCTTGTCATCATGAACTAGACACAGTGGCCCTCAAAACCTGGGTATATCCAAATAACCTTGGGGCCGTTCGAGACTACCAGTATAGCATTGTCAAGAACGGTCTGTTCAACAACACGCTGGTGGCTTTACCCACTGGTCTCGGAAAGACGTTCATCGCCGCGACTGTCATGCTGAATTATTACCGGTGGACCAAAAGGGCCAAGATTGTGTTCGTCGCGCCGACCAAACCCCTCGTCGCCCAGCAGGTTGACGCCTGCTTCAACATTGTGGGAATCCCTCGGTCCGACACCACCATGCTGACGGGGGAGACTGCACCTGCCTTGCGTGTTGACGAATGGGGGTCCAAGCGCGTATTCTTCATGACACCTCAGACGCTCTTGAACGACATCTCGCGTGGCTATGCGGATCCGAAATCGATCGTGCTCCTCGTGGTTGACGAAGCCCACCGCGCAACCGGCGAGTACGCTTATGCCAAAGTAGTGAAACAAATGCGCCGTTTCAACCCCTTCTTCCGAGTCCTGGCTTTGACGGCAACGCCTGGGTCCAAGGTAGAAACAGTTCAAGAAGTAATCGACAATCTGGGGATTTCTCATACCGAGATTCGCACCGAGGACTCCATTGACATTCGTCAGTATGTTCAACAACGAAACATAGACCAACGCGTACTCGACCCCTCCGACGAGATGTGCGAAATCAAAGATCTTTTCACAAAGGCGCTGAAGCCTCTCATGGACAAGCTGACCCAGCAGAACATCTACTTCGGCCGGGATCCCATGAGTATCACCACCTACGGGTTGATGCAACAAGAGAAGGAATGGTTCGGTGTTTCGGGGAGACATAAGCCGCAGGCCTTGCAAAATATGATGAGAGCCATCTTTTCCATTCTCAAGTCTCTGGCACACTCGATAAAACTGCTCAACTTCCACGGCATTAAACCCTTCTACGAGAATGTCAAGGACTTCCGCAGCAGCGTCGAGGAGAAAGGGGAGAGGGCATCCAAGTACAAGCAACAAGTCACTTCGAATCCGAATTTTAAGGAAATGATGGACAAGGTGGACCGGTGGCTGCGTATCCCCGACTTCGTTGGCCACCCAAAGTTGACTGAACTTGCCAATACCATGCTGAACCACTTCATCGACGCACAAGGGGTAACCTCGACACGAGCCATCGTCTTTAGCGAGTACAGAGACAGTGCCGAGGAAATTGTGCGAGCTCTCAACATACACAAGCCGCTCATCAGCGCTACCGTCTTCGTAGGCCAGGCCGAATCCAAAAGGTCGGCAGGGATGAAGCAAGCGGAGCAAATAGAAACCGTGGAGAAGTTCAAAGACGGGCATTACAACGTGCTTGTGGCCACGTCGATCGGAGAAGAAGGTCTGGACATTGGCCAGGTCGACTTGATCGTCTGTTACGATGCGTCGTCTTCCCCTATCCGGATGCTTCAACGGATGGGCCGAACGGGTCGTAAACGCGAAGGCAACGTCGTCCTGCTTCTGATGAGAGGCAAAGAAGAGGACAACTTTACCAGGGCGAAGGAAAATTACCAGTCGATGCAAGCCCTGATATGCGAGGGCAGCCGGTTCAACTTCCGCCATGACCTCTCCGCCCGCATCGTCCCTCGCGACACACGCCCTGAAGTGGACATGCGGCACATCGACATTCCCATCGAGAACACACAGAACACTTCGCTCCCTGAGCCCCGCAGACGAAAATCGAAGACCAAGCCGAAAAAGATGCCAGCCAAGAAATTTCACATGCCGGATGGGGTCGAGACTGGTTTTGTCAAGGCATCCCGTTTGGGTCAACCGGAAACCGGTGGCCAAAGGGGTCGGCCTAAAAAGACGAAGCCACCCGAACCAGACGAATTGGATGAATTGGTTGACATTCCTCCCTTCGAGTCGGTGCTGCTCACTCCATTACAGATGTCCGAGCTTGATCGTAACTATAGGTCATTACCCTATAGTAACAAGAACGTCGAGGAAACCCAGGTTGTGGATGTCAACGCGTACCCTCGATTAAATCGGCGCCTCCGACCTGTTGGGAGGGTGAAGCATGGTGTGCGAACCAAGAAGTTCGTGAAGCTTATGCAGGCCTGGGCGACGAAATATAAACAGCCGAGCGAGAGATGGGCTTATCCATATGGCGAAGAGGACACCAGCAATTGGCAGAAAATCCCTCCGCCGCCATTAGCTCCTGATACGGATGAGGAGAGGAGTTCTGCCAAAAAACGCTCTTCAGATGCCGCCGTTCTTCGTGATGGGGGTTTGGAGGGAGAACCTCGGTCAAAGAAACGGAGGTCGAAAGTTACTCTGGAAGATCATCGGCCAATCAACCTTGAGTCTGATGCAGAGGAGGCTCCAAACGACGAAGACGATCAAGCAGCACCTTCGGGGCGGAAACGTGTCAAACATAGCAGGCCGGGTAAAAAGAGGAAGCCGCTGGGGAAGACACCGCAGAGCCGCCGTCGACAGAGGAAGGGTGGCATCAACAGCGACGAGTTGGGAGATGATTGCGAACGGACCAGCGATGTCATGGAAACAGATGGTTCCGACAGTGGTGCAGACTTGCTCGACTTCATCGTCGAGGACGACCATCCCATTAGCCAATTCACCTCGACACTGCCCACCTGTCCCGTGGCGTCACCATTCTCGGTTAAAGCGAGAGGAAGGGTGACAGAGCCTGCGTCCAGAGCGAAGTCTTCCTTGGTCCCCTTGGAATTACCACCGACACAAGAGTCGCTAGATGAGTTTCCGGACCTCGACAAGGCAGTCCAGTCGAGAAAACCGGCGGCAGCACCTCCAAGACGGGTTACTGGCAGATATTTTCCGTTTCTGGACTCTGACGATAGCGACGTTGCACCCCAGAAGGATGTGAGAAGGCAGAACCGGAGGCGGGGTGTTGTGGAGGAAAGCTAGGACGAGGATGGATTATGAGTGTGGCCGCCGGATGGGCAGATGTTTGGCAGAGGCGTCGAATGGGTTGACATTAAACGGTCTGTTCTTGTGCTGGTCTAGACAAGCACCCGGGAGTTCCTCATGATAGATAAGGGGAAAATACGGCGAATGGAGTTGCACGGCAGTGGTGGGAATACAACATTGAACCAAACTATATATTGTTCGCTCTAATCTACCATAACCCGTGGATAACCTCGTTGACCCCTGGGTGACCTTGTGACCAACTCGCCTCCCACCTATGTTGCCACCTCTTCACCTTCCCAGGAAGATACTACGAAGACTGAAACTCTTCTCTCGCAATATCGATAAATTGACCGCCGAGGGAGACGGAAGTCAACGCCCTAGAGCCCGGTCAGCACAAGCTCACGAGCCGCAAACAAAATGCCACCAGGCCAAACCACCAAAAGGCAGAAGAAGAAAAGAAAAAAAAGAACGAAAAGCAAAATCTCAGAAACCCAAGTTAAAAGCACTACCAACCCCACCGCCCTCGCCGCCCGTCCAGTCCGACGGCCAGGTCCGAAAACCCCAGGGGAACGGAAGCTAATGCCGGAACAAATTGCATATGACGATACAAATGTCCTGGCGTCCGCAACCTCCAGGCGTCCCCGGCGCCAGACAGGACGAGAAATACAAACGAGGGACAAAGCCGAGGGGCCCGTTCGCTTTCCCCCTCCCCACGAAGGAGAGAAGGAGGCGAACGAAAAACCCGGGGTGAGTCTCAGACGGCTCTTCCTATTTTGATGTGGAGGGTTGAATGGGATCTCATCATGTTGCTTTCGTCGGGAAACGCGCGTTCTTTTCGAGGAGGGTAAATAGGAACCAGATAAAAAACGCGCGAGCTTACCCATTATGCGAGTAGAAAAGAGCGGACGTGTCGGATAAAGACGCGGCAATGGTTGTTGGGAGTTAAAAAGATGGGTGGAGGAAGAATGGAACTGGAGGGAAAAAAGCTGTGCCTCTCGCTTCTCAAATGTTTGGAAGTAACCCCGGCCACCGGGTCCTTACGTTATCGCTCCTCATTACCTAAGCGACCCACCAAAGTTGGAGATACGCATAGCCGAGATTACAGGTAAACTGATATCTAACCATGAGGCTAAGCTGAGGGTAGGTGTGGGGCAGAGTAGGGTAGATAGTTGAGCTGAGAGTTGCTATAGGGCGTGGTCTATGCTGGGTTATATAATAAGTGTATATGCCTGAAGTATCCGGTATTAACATGAGGGGTAAATAAGTGAGGGGTAATAAGTAGAGTAGGAGGTGGTGATAAATAGATAAAGAGACGGAAAACGGGCCGGAAACGATTTAGAAACGATTCAGGAACGATTTAGGAACGATTTAGAAACGATTCGGGATAACTTCTTACACGGAACTAGATCCTAATAGTGAGATTTAGCCGCGAGAAGAGGTTAAAGACCTAAAAGAATAGGAAGATGACTTTTATAATCTTAGATTTATTAAAAATAAGAATTAAAGACTATATCTTTATAGACTTTATCCGAGTCGCCGAGTACTATAAGACGTTATCCTAAGGAATTAAGTTAAATAAGTAAGTATTTACTAACTACTACTTTATATTACCTATTACTTACTAAGATTAGATTCTATCTAAGGAGGAAAACGTCCTAATTTTAATTTCTACCGCCACATATAGTAATAGAAGACTTACCCTAGGCTCTCGCGCTATATAGGTCGATAATATCCTATATACCGCTAGAATTCCTAAGATACCTTAAATATCACCTGCTAGAGTAGCCGTTATTATCCTAGTAGATATTTTAAATAATAAAGAGAAAAATTCTCTATAGAAAATCGTACGTTATACTTTTATTTAAGGTATTTTCTTAATTACTAACCTCTTTTAGATCTAGTACGAAATAGCTCGAAAATAACTAGGTTTTCGGGCTACTAATACTATATTTAGAGATATACTAGTATTTCGCTATACTTATACCTATTAAGGTGGTAAAGCTTGCTAATATCTTTTAGAATTAGACTTCTATTATAAAAGTGTTATACTATAGCTACTTAATTAAATTAGTGTAAGAAGATCCGAAGTTAAGGAGCTTACTATATAGAAAAAGGCTTTAGGGTAAGTAAAACGCGTTTAGATTAAGAAGTATAGGTATTAATATTATTTTAGATAGGTATAGGTAGTGAAAGGAAGATTCAGTAAAAGGACTGCTTATATAGACCGGGAAGAAACGTGTATTCTAGTCGTGGACTCTAGTATCTACTATATAAGTATAATATTTTCGGTATTTACATTATCTCGAATTATTTCTAATTAATTATAGCACCTTACCGACTTTTAATAATATCGTATACGGTGCTAGTCTTAGTTACTAGGCGTAATAACGCGTCGTTACTTTCTCGCGATTATTCCTTCGGTCTTTTACCCTTATATAGACCTTATTAGATAGACTTTTAATCTAATGGTGCACGGAATACTAGCGAATCCTGATAAGAACTGCTACTTCTTTATAACGAACCGTAGAAAACGAAGGATATATAGTATATAATTCCCGAAATTATTTAGAAACGATTCGGGAACGATTCGGAAACGATTTAGAGACTATATTTCACTTATACTCTAACTCTCTTTTATAGATAATATATATATTACGGGACCTGGAGAAATTCAACGGCGAAAATACAACGTCGAATTTCGATTTTTTATGCTATACGATTTTAATATAACACCGTGGATTATTATAACCTTATATAGAATACACGTCTACCCTCCCCTACCGCTTTTAAAAGCCCCCTTATTAGTTATTAATAGTATTACTTAAGTACTCGCGAAAATCAATAAACCGATAACTATACTAAACGCGTTCCTTAAGTCGAGTAAACTTAGGTAATTCGTGGTAGAATTTAAAGGTAAGACGATTATGGATATTTATACTAGCCTTACGAATACCGATTACCTTCGGTATATTATTCGTAAGTAGTAGATTATCCTCTTTCTATAAGGCGGTCGAGGTCTTACTTTAGCTCTAGAGTAGATAAAAGAGGCAAACTAACGAATATATATAAGTATACTACCTTAGTACCTATAGTTATAGAGAAGATTCTAATAGCCTATATTAGTATATCTAGTATTTATACTAATCACGATATAACTATATAGTAATCTGCTTTTTTAAGGAATAGGTAAAATAATAGAAGTTTCCTGATATAATTTCCTTTTTCGTTAATACTAACTATAAATATATTAGCGGCGTGAAGTAAAAAGAAATTATTTAGGTATAGTATAGTTAAAACTCGGAAAAAGGTATATACCCGAATTGTTCCCGAATTATTTCTGAATCGTTTCTAATATATATTAGTGCTCCTTTTAGTAAGGTGCTATATAAACTCGGAGATAATAAAGATATATCTTTATATATTTCGGCAGGTCTTCCGGATCCTTAAGGATAAGTATAGTATCCTAATTTAGTGGAAATTCCTTTATAGCACGGGTCTTTTTAGGGTGACTTTAGACTAGGCTTTACTAGCGATTGAAGGCTTTAGAAAATACCTTTAGGAGAGGTACTAGCTTAAAGAGCCTTAGGAAACTTAGGTAACTTACTATATAAGACTTTATATAGTTTATTTTCGGCGTGGTGTTAAAAGTGTTTTAGGAGGTGACCTAGAATAAGGGGAAGGATTATACTACCGAATCCTTATAAGTTTACTAGAATACTAGACTCGAGAGAATTATAATAACCTATATGATAAGATTAGCCGTGAGCTTTTCCCCGAAATTATCTAGAAATAATTCGGACACGATTCTAGTATTATTCGGAAATAATTATAGAATAACTTAGCGATAATTAGGAAACGTTTTCGGTAGGGTAACTAAAACTAACCAATTTACTAGGGAGATTTCCCTAGTATTATAACTAGGCTATATATAAACGCTTTCTATATATCGCTATAGGATTTTACTAAGCTACCTTAAGTATTCCCGCTAAAGATTAGGTACTAATTACCGATAATTTAAATATAGTCGAGGTTATATATTAAGCCTTATACTTATAGACTAGGCGAAATATCTATATCCTTAAAGTAATTAATAGGTAAGTTTAGCTTAAGTTATACCGAACCTACTTACTAAGTCTATTAGATATCGCGATTATAATTAGAATCTAATCTTAAGAGATTTTACGATGCGTTCTCTTTAAGTCCTAGGATTATAGCGGAATACTAGTATAAGAGGCCGGGTAGATAACTACTTAGGTCGTAAAAGTAAGCTTTATTATTTTAGTATATATAGCAGAAGAGTTACTAACCTTATAGTATTCTAGAAAGAAAACTGCATAAGACTAATACCGAATAAGAGGAGGAATTTCGTGATCGGTCGCGAAGCCGTGTAGTATTAAGTAGCCGATCGATTTCGAGGTTACCGCTTAACCCTTCGGAAGATTTTGGCGTATTCGATTAAAACGATATAGAGTCGGATTCTCGAAGTTCTCTAGCACGAAGTATAAGGAGTGTATTATTAAGCGGGGTCCCTCTAAGATGCTTACGAAGTTAACGCCTAAATCCACGTAATCTGTATTAGCAGGCTACCCTAGGTTAGATTTAGGCTTTATAAGCTTCTTTATCTTTTAAGGAGAGGTCTCTTAATATAGAGGAACGTAGATATAAGATAGCTTAAAAAGATCGTGAATTAGAGGCTGAAATTAAGAGGCGAAGGCTTAAAGATAAGCGGCGTTATACGCTTAAGCTAAAGCGGATCGAACTTGAAAGAGAGTTATTATTACGTTTAGGATAACCGAGTTAGATAGGTAAGAAGACTTTAGTTATCGGTATTATTATTCGTATTATTATAGGGTATTCTTAAAAAAAAAGCTATATCTTATAAAAAAACGCCTTTATAGACGCCTAATTATTATCGTGAAGTCCGAAATAGTAAAACCCCGATATAATAGAAACGTTTCTAAAACGTTTTATAAATAACTACTTACTCCTTATTATTAGGAGTAGTATTATAGGCCTATAAGACCCGATAGTGACGGGGAGGGGGGCGGACGGCCTTAGGGAAATCTAGTAAAATATATATTAGTCTATTAGTTTTTATTTTATAAAGAGTAGTAAACTTACCCGAGACTATTTTACTATCCGCTATATTATTATAGCGATACTTAGCCTAGACTATATAAAGATAGTCGTAATAAGGGGGGGAGTAGCCTATACAATAGATACTATTAGTAAAAGATACTAATAGAAAAATACAATAGAATATACTACGACTAATAGAGTTCTACTCTATGCACGCCTGGTAACGTTCCTCTAAACTCTAGCCGAAAAGATCTATTTTTATACGAAGGATATCGGGCTAGTAAAATAGATATATTAGCACGCGTTTCTAAATAGGTTCGGAATCGTTTCTGAAATAGTCCTTATATTTCCTTTATTATTTCGCGGAATATTACGAAGATATATATCTTTAGCCACTGCTTTAGCCTTACGAGGAGTATTAAGCTAACCGTTAATAATAAGAGTAAGGTTTCGTATCGATCGGTAATATTAAGCGGTGCGGGTATTATCACGAGCGTTAAGAGAGCCCGAAACACTTAGAGCGGCCTATATATAGTGTGTCTTATAGATATATCTTTTTAGTGCACTAATCAAGGAAAATTTAGAGCGCTATATAGAATAAATTAATTAAAGCCTTATCGCTATTTCGTGAATAGGAAAATACTTATATTAAAGTAGAGCTCGCCGTCTTCTTCTATAAAGCGGTAGTATATCTCTCCCGCTACTAGGATAACCTTACTAGTCTTATAGAAGTGTTAGTAAACTATAGTGTATTAGATTAACGAGTATACTTATACCGTCCGTCTTAAATTCTAGTAGATTTCTAGGACGTTTATTACTATCTTCCCTATTTATATACTACTAGTATACCTCCGTATCTCTGTAGTTAGAGGGTATTATCGCGAATTCTATAGGAGAAATTTTAGAGGGGGTTAAAAAGGTTTCTAAAACGTTTCCTAATCGTTCCCGAATCGTTCCCGAATCGTTTCTAACGCGGTTAGAGACATAAAACACTAAAGAATCGATTCTGATAGGAAAATATACCTGAAGATAACGAGGAAGATAAATAAATTAATATAGTTAATGATAAAAGTATTAATAGAGGGTAATAGTGATAGCACGAAAACACTCTCTATAAAAATATAGAGTAGTGGTGAAAGGAAAGAGATATAATAACGTTAACGCTACGAAAAAGAGGGGAATAACACGTTAACGTGTTACGACGTGACTCGTAAAGACTGGAGAAACGTTTCCCCTATACCGTTATTCCGGTATTCCACTATTCCTCTATTCGACTAATTAAAACTTAGCCCCACACCTACCCTTAGCTTAACCTTTCCTAGCCACCCCCCTATTCCTACCCTTAGCTTAGCCTCGTGGTTGGATATCAGTTTATATGTAGTCTCGCCCAGCCCCAGCTACAGTATAAGCAACCGGCGATGACTCTGTTGTCAGCCACATTCTTTTGATATTACTTCGTACGTCGACCGGACACAACATAATTACAAGAATACACATTGAATTCAAGACAGGGTTAGTCATGAAGGTCCTGTTCGAATTTCAATTATTTCAAAAGGACCATGGAAAAAGTTTGAGAACCGTAGAGCACCTACCGAGAAGCGTGTCGCTGCGAGCTCACAGGGACGAGCGAGGGTGTAATAATAAAGTGACAGCCAAATGAGACGGAGGATGGAGTTGAATGTCCGAAAATCCCATGTGATACTAATTTTCAGCAACTGCGCTGGATCTACATAAAACGACAATACGCTGTGAGTGCAGATATCCAAGCGAGAATAATCCCACTTCTGCAGTCTGACGGCGTTTGTTCCTGATCCTAATCCCAAGTCTCCTTGGCTGTGCCCACCGCCAAATCATTCCTCCAAGTTGTCAACCAGTTCCACAACCAGAGCGGGCCATCCTCTCAAGGAGAAGAAAAAAGAGAAAAAAAAAAAGATTATCTCAAGTGAAAGGAGAAGTGCACAGTCGAGAATGAGGAGAGTAATAAGGAAAGTGATTTCCAGTCAAAACAAAATCGCCAAATTATCACATCGTTAGTCTCAGAACTTGAGACCACTGTCGCTCCTCTCTCTTGACAATCTTCGTTCGGCAAGATATGAAATGCCTTGGTCATATCATTAACGTCGTAAAAAAAAATCCCTCTACTGCTGTTGCTGGTGGTAGGCCTGATACTCCATGTGGGCCCAGTCCATGTCGGCGGGAAAGAGAACTTGAGAGTTGGTCTGCGAAAATCCAAGGCCCGCGCTAGGTACCTCGCCGAAGAGGGAGTCAAATTGGTCTTCTTTGGTCAGACCGGTGTTCGGAAAGAGCTGGAAGTCATCGCCGGTCACCGGGAAATCATCAAATCCTTCATCCACTTCACCCAGTGAATTGGGCGTAAACAACACGGCATTCGTCTGTCCCGTCGGGGAAAAGTGCGGAGCTACCTGTGGTTGCGCAGGGTGAGGCTGGCACATGGACACTGTCTGGAAGCCCGGCAGACCAGGCATCAGTTTGCCATCGGCCTGCCAGAGTGTCGGCGGGACCTGAACATGAGCGTTATAGATATCGTCGTGGATGATAAAGTCCGGGCCTTCTTGGTAGGTCGAGTATCTTCCGTACGACGAATCAGTCGACGGCGTGTTGTGATCAGTCGGCGAGAGCTCGAGATTGATATCTTCCACGGTCAAGGCTGGCTGTTCGCCAATCATGGACATGTATTGGTCATTGAACTCCTCGGAGGACATGTACGCGGGGAAGTCAATGCCGCCGTTATCGTCGCTCCCCAGGGAGACGAACTGATCCACGTGTTGTTCAGGCGGCGTAGCGATGCTGTGACTGCTTGAGGGAGTAGGCATGGTGCCCAGCTGCGGGGTCGGCTGGGTCGAGCTGGCGGCCTTGCTTGCGGACTTATTGCCGTTGGTCTTGGTGCGAACGTACGTCCAGCCGTGGGCCTTCTCCATGTGCTGCTTGCAGTTGGATTCGCGCTTGGACTTGTAGGGGCAAGGTTTGTAGTGGCACTCGAACATGGCAGGCGCGGCCGAGTGCTTGTCATTGATATGACGGTCCATCTCCTTCTCCGTTGGCCAGCCGTACTCGTGATACTTGCAGGTCGTGAGAGGGCACTTCCAAGGGCGAGAGTGCGTCTTCTCATGTTTCGTCAAGTCGCAGGGACGCTTGAACTCCTTGTTGCAGCCGGGCTCCCGGCATTTCTTGGGCGCGAGCTCCTCGGGGGTGGCATTCTTCTTCCGTCGGGCCATGGATCGTAGAATTTCTTCTTCGTCCTCGAGCTGCTGGCTCAGAGACCGCTTCAGCTTGGGGGAACCTTTCGCCTCGTCGTCAAGGTCCACGGGCAAGCCTGTGGCCATAGAGATGGCCTTTCCGTCCTTGCGGACGCGGACAAGCTCCGCAGGGCGACCGTTCACTGAAACACCGCCGAAGAGTTTGATTTCGTCGGTACTAGAACCAGGGTCAACACAGCCGTGCGACGAAAAAGTTGCCGAGTCGAGGGACACAGAAACGTACGGGTCCACATCCATGTCGTCGGCCTCCTTAGCTGCAGCGAGCTGATGAGCGTATTGGTGAATCTGCTCCACGAGGTCGATGAAATATCCGTTAGTGTACGGGCGATCGTTGGGCCGGATCTGCTCTCGGTCGCTGATATATTCGACGGTCGCTTGGATGCATTGAATGGACGTAAGGCAGAAGTCGAGGTACAGGTTTGCCGTTTTCGCCCTCTCCTTCATCGACGTCTTATAAGCATTGGCCCAAGCCTCGAAACGAAGCCCGAGTTGACTTACCGGTGCCATGAAGATGAGGGTCTTCTCGAGGTCCCTGAGGCAAACAATTTCCTTCTCGCGAATACGCCTAGGAACGTCCAAGACGATAGACTCAAAGTCTTTCAGGGAAGCCTTGGCCCGCAAAGGGTGAAGAACACGCTGATGGATACGGCTGATGGCCTTCGGGCCGAGGCCGGGTAGGCTCTCCATCGTAGAGGAGGACGCTGCGGCGGATCTGGTAATGGCGGAGGCCTTGGTGGCCGTCTTTGAGATGGAAACAGCCGACTGCTTCTCGTTTGTCGACCCAAGCGAAGTGCCGAGACCGCTGTCTGACTCGTGATGACGGGACGAACGGCGGTGTCTCGGACGGATGATGTGTCTCTCGGTTGGTGTCTTCAAGGCGGCGGCGGCGGCGACGACGGCTGGGTCCACAACGGGGGGCGGAAGGAGGCCCCGGGGGACGGGATAGCTTTCGTCGCGGAGAGGCGCGGGAGCTGAAGGCGTACGGGCGTCGTCGTCCAGGCTGAGGGAGCTGTCGAAGATGTCGACGATGAATGCCATACGGCGACGATGAGCATCTACGACATCTTCGAGGCTCGACTGCGACCGGCCGAGTGCGGGAGGAACGAAGGCGGCAAGCGAAGACGATGTGGAAGATGAGTGGAAGGTAGCAGCCTTACGGAGGGTCATGTTGGTCTTAAGGCTCAAACCATTGCCGACAGAGGCATCCGGGCAAGCAGGCGGAGTCCTACGGCGAGGGTGCTGGCAGGCCATGGCGAAGGTAGAGGAAAAGGTATTTTAGTATGTTGGGGAGCCAGTCTGCTTATGTGCGGACGAGAGTCCTAAAACCTGGAGATCCAGAGGTTAGTTTGTCTTCGGCAAATAGAGGAGGACCGGGGATAAAGGACAAGTGTGAACAGGGGATCGGACAAAGCAGCCAGTGTGAGTCACGGCGACAAGACTCTGGGGTGGTGAAGGAGCGGATCGGGGCAGAGAAAATAGACGGGGGGATTGGAGACGGGGAAGAAGGCAAGAGGCCAAATTGCAATGCTGACGCAGAGCAGGAACACTGGAAGATAGAGATAGACTGGTGGGTAATTAGTCCTTACAAGTAACGGTGGTACAAAAATGGTAACGGCCTCGTCAACGTCCAACGAGGCGCAGCCCACCCAAGGACGAGGTCGACTGCTCAATAGTAATAATAATACGACGTAGGTAGAGAGTAATGGGGGAAAGCGGAGAGTGGACGACGGAGCAGGAGCGGGGAGGCAAAGCGGATATATGTCGAGAGGAGCGGGAGGTTATGCTGTAAAATAATAATAGTGCCCGAACGAGACGCGAAACGAATGCGCAAGGAAGGGCGGGAGGTTCGTCGAAGTCGCGGGGAAAGGAGAGTAGAGAGTCGAGAGTATAGGAAACCCGAACTGGATATGGATGGAATGACGAGGAAGGCGATTGCTGGCAGACGAAATGCGGATAGTTGACGCGAGGACTCTCCCAGTCCTCGTAGGCGAGTCCTGTCAACCGAGTACGTTTCCAGACAGTGTCCTGGGGAGCAGGATGTCGAGAAAGTACGGAGTCGGTCAGGTTCTTGGAGTTGAGGCCAAAGTGGTTGAGGCGTGACGAGAGTACAGACTAAGGTAGAGTTGCTTAGAAACCCAGAGTGGGTGACCGAGACAAATAGGAGTTGCGGAGTCTCGGCGTCTCGACTTAAGGCGAGGGCTGCTGCCTAAATCGGGCCCCACCTTAACGTGACCCACCGACCAATGGCAGTCCGGTCGCGAATCCTCTGGGTCTACCTTATGTGGCGGAGCAAAACCGCAGACAGCTCGGAGGGAGAAGAAGAAAGCGCAGATACCTTAAGGTATTTACATTTACGTACCTTTATGTACATACACATATTCGTCCCACCGAAAGTACGAGATGACGGGAAACGCCGAGCGATGATGGAAGTCAACTCTGCAGCAACTCTGCTCGTGAGACGGTCCTGAGTGCATCTGAGTCCTAAGACAAATAATAATAAGAAAGAAGAGAAGTTATGATGATGTTGCTTGCTTGCTAACAGACAAAAACGCGCCCGTCGGCGAATAACCAGTATCCGTAGATACGTACGTCTGACAGCGACGGAACCTAATAAGGTACGTTGTAATACCTTAGTGTATTCTACCTTACGAATCCTTCGTACGGATACAAAGCAACGCCATGTCACCCGTCGTCTCCACCATGCCTATGTACCGGTAGTTGAACTACGCAATAGCTTGGTTCAATCAGGTAATTATTAATTACCTTACCTTACGCAGTAGGAATCCCAGTATCCACCCCAACGGCCCAACGGCCGTGGTGGGAAGAGGCAACCCGCTGCAATCTGTTCTGTTTCCGACATTCTTCCCTTCGACGTGCCGAATATTCCGCTTCTGTTTGCTACCTAATTATCGATTGTGCGAACGAAGTATTGACCCTTGCTAGTGGCTACCAATGCTCGTCATGAACAGACAGCAGCACAGTGACCCATTCCACAACACAACGGAACAAGCTGCGACGCCAGTTCAAGACGGAAATGTCTGGAAATGTACTCGTCTGTCAGATGCGACGGTCTAGTGTAAGACAATGGCGACGTTGAACCAATCGTTTCTCGGCGGGCGTTTTTGTCGTCGTCCCTTACGAGGGGGGGTCGTCGCGGGTCACCCCATCACCCATCACCAACAGTTCGGTTCTGGACACCTTGGCAGAAGAAGAGTCGCCTGGCACGTTTTCGCAGTCGCTTCTTTTCACTTCGTACATACATTCATTCATTCGCATTACGAATGCTCCGTACGAAGTACGTGTACGGAGTACAGTACATTCTCTCCGCTAAACACTGTATGCATACCTTACCTTATATTCGCATGAAGTAGGTACGGATATGCTGGAATATGGACGAACCAGGAGACGCGTCTAGGGTATTTGCTGTGTACAAGTATCGCTCGGTGACTTTAATAAGGGTAGATGAGCCATCCATCCTTACGGTAGGCCTCATCACATCGACAGAATACGTGATTGGGGGTGCTCTTACGATAGGTACATAAGGTACCATCTACCATCCACACACAGCATTGCGTCGGTAGCCCGTCTGGCATTGAAAACACCAACGGAGTACTCCGTACTCCGTCCGAATAAGGTAAGGTACTTCACATTTCGATTTCCTTCCCATGGACGAATAGCGATGGGGATCACATTTGCCTACCTGTATTCGACTTCGCACACATCTCGCGAGGGAAATTTGGCCGCAATCAACCAATGATGATGCGCCATCACCGTTATTTGACTTTGATTTGGATTGAATCGCCATCAGAGTCAGTGGCAGCGTCTTGCGTACCTAGCCACAGTTTCCATGGACACACACCTCGTTCCAATCCGAGCAATCCTTGGACTTTGTCAAGCGCTACGTAATCAACAATTCCAACCATTCCTACCTGGGACACCGAGGCCGAACCCGTTGTCCACCCACCTCGGCTCACTCCCTTAATAAGGTAGCTACAGATACATACACACACTTTGTTTTTTCGTCTTTGCCTTTTTCCTGGTATGACAGTTTCCGAGGTAACTTATTTCACTACCCACTTTGTTGAGAAGCAAAGGATAGCAATGCGTCGACCTTACACGGAGTACCAAGATAGGGTACGATCAATCACCTCCCTCAGATCAAGATGACGAGGCCCCGTTGAACCCCCACATCAGCCCTATGGCCAGTTTAGCGAATCAGGCTGCGACCAATTCAGAGGCCTACGGATAAGATGCCACGGCAATTGAGCCAATGGTGGCCGGTAATTAGCCGGTAGCCCCTGCACATTTGGTGACAACGCTACGACTACTGTATTTCTTTCGTTTTGGGCTTCTTGACGCGTCATTACCGTCCTCGGTACGCAGTCGTCCGCATCGCAACACGTTGCATCAATGAACCGCTTCCTGGAAACGCCCCCGGTCCCTTGATTTGGGGAGCTGGGAGAGTTGGAGAACTGCGGGATGACTCCTGGGAAGTGGTTCATTGATGCAACGTGATAGACCCTATGTAAAGGATTGCGGTTCATTGGCGTTCTAAAAGAAGAGTCCGTGGTAAGTCAGTCTTCCGGCTAGCAATCAATGTATCGGTTCATAACCTGTCTCGAATAATATTGTTTCTTTCTTCTCCTGTGTTTCCTGGCCAAGCTCCAAGTTGAGGTGTCACCCAATCACCCAACCGAGGATGAAATTCGCTTCGAAGGAAGACGGGGACGGCCTCGCAATGCTCCCGCAAGTTCGAGACCGGGTCCTCATTCTCTAGTTTTGACCTTCTGGCCGACGTTGGACAATTTTGGTCAGAGGACAACATTGCGTTCGGCGTGTCCTCCGCCCGGTCAGGAGGCATACTGCACCTAAAATCAAGACCTGGCCTACTTCAAAGTGAAGTCAACGTCCAGTAACGCCACATATCATTCCTGGCTGGATATTCGACATCCACTAGAAGAACAAGAAATCAACCAGTTCTAACGATCGGATACTGCAGACTAAGTCAAGGGGACTTTCAGGTATTAATCGGGTGTTGGAAAAAGAGCAGTGTCGGTGTTACCTTAGGGCTGTTAAGAACCTCCTTTGGACGACATGCCCATGGCGTCCTGTCCAGTATTTACATCTTGGGCTTGTCCCCATTCACTAACCACTAGTCCAAGGAGGTCACGGCGAATGGCACTAAAAAGTAAGGTCCAGTAATACAAGACCCTTTGTCCAAGACTGGTGTTCATGTTTCAAAGGCAAAACGTGCGTCTCCGACAACTTCAAAGAGCTTTGTGTTCCCAAGACAAAGATACAGCCTTCATGTCAGAGTTCAGAGCAACTCCAAGCCGATTGTTTATTCAACCAACCCTTCATGGCTTCAGAGCCTTTCTTCTTCATGCTCTTCACTTTTTTCTAGAAAAAAAAATTAAAGCCCGTGTAAGAAAACACACCTGTCACTACACGACACCCCCAAAGATGTAAGAGAGCGTCCAGTTTCTTTGACCAACCTCAGAACATTCACATTGATCCGGGAGTTGCCATATCAGTCCACCTAGTATCCTGTGACAATTTCTAGTTGTTTCCTAATAACACGATTGCACTCAGTTAACCATGTCTATTCACCGCCCTGACAAGTATTGCTTCAGGACATCGACCCAGAAACATGCTGGTTGTCCAACAACAACTAGAACCCAGCCTCTTGACGAGAGTGGCATAAAAGCCTTTACACGTCCAACCATGGCCAGCTGGATTTCGAAGATGAATCCCGATTGAAATTCAAGTTCTAAGAAACACGTAAACATCAACAACCACCTAGTATCGAATCTGAATCGAGATCAACAAGATGCCTATCCCATGGCTCAGATTCAAGCGGCAGGGGACGAAGCCGACTCGCAGGTCGACGTCGCCGCCCCCTGGCCAAAGTCAAACCCCCAGCTCAACCTCGACCGGAGTTACGACCTCCGCACGATCTTCCAGAGTCTCCTCTATCGTCATACAAACCCGTGGCACAGAGCAGGTGACTGCATGGTTGAACGGCCAAACGGACGACGCCATCGTCGCCTTGCGTGACGAGCAGCAGCGTGCCGTTCAGGAAAAACGAAAAATCCCACCGACCCAAGGGACCCAAGCCGTACTGCGATGGAAGGACTCGCCATCCCCGAACGCCCTGAACGAAGTCCTTCGGGCTCGTGACAAGGCACGCTCCGACACCCTGTCCAGGCGACCTACGACGCTCCGTCCCCCGCCACCGACCCTGCCCATGTTGGCCTTCCAGCCCCTGGGTGATATGATCGCCGATGCTGGCCTTGGGTTCGACGACAACGTCGAGCCTAATGACCCCAAGAAGACCTGTCCAGAAACCCAGCTTGGCGCTTCCTTGAAACCGAAATCAGCAGGAAAGCGCCCGGAGAAGGAAACACGCCCATCCCCGAAAGAGGCTCCCCCTAGGCCCAAATCGCGCCTCTACATTATCCCCAAAATGTATCGTGAGCCAATCCGAGACTTTTCCGACAAGGAAGACGACGACGACGACGCGGACATTCTCCCCCTAGCTTCTGGACTGCCCAGCCGGGCACGAGAAATCGAGATTCCCTTGCGTTCAAGCGCCACATCTCACCAGCAAACGCAGGTGGGACGCACCAGGAATGTCGACGACCACGAAGAAGAAGAAGCCCAAACCCTCCCCATTAGAGCTGGTCGCATGATGCGTAGTCGAATGGTGGACATCGAAACCAGGACGGTAAGTTTGAACGTCCCCGAGATGGATATAACTGACGAGTCCCGGCCTAGGGCTCCCGCAGGCAGCACGATCCACGAGGAGGCCGAAGAGGAGGGTTCCAGCACGGATTTCAAATACGAGATGCTGCCGGAGGCCGAGGAGGAGGAGGAGGAGGAGCAAGAGCTGGAGGAGGATACCGACACGGATCTCGAGTACGAAGCTGTGCCGAAGGACGAGGGCGATGGTTCCGACGCGGATCTCAAGGACAAGACTGTGCCGGAGGTCGAGGAACCCGAGCCTGCCCCCGTCTACCAGAGCCGCTGGTCCCCTGACTCCAGCGACGACGAACAGCAGGAAGACGAAGAGGAGGAGGAGGAGCATGGCAGCACGACATGTGGAGTTTCCATCGATATAACACCACCCACCCCGCCATCTGCGCCTTCGCCGCCACCCACTAACAGAAGCATGGAGCAGGAGGACGACGACGACGACGACGACGAAGAGGGCTTCCATGCCTGTCTCGATGCTTGGAGCCACATGTTAACGAATCATTCTTCCGTAACACCGCCACTTCGCCAGCAGCAGACTACTGCTGCTGCTGTTCAGAGCACCTCATCAGCCCCGTCCGACGAACGACCTCCTCAGGACAATCGGTACCTCACCGTTCCCCACAGGAGCTCCCGTCGTCCTCGCGCCTCGGAAGAATGGCAAATCTCGGTCATCGACGATGACAATGAGGATGACAGCGACGACGAGTATTACTATGACGAAGAAGGCACCTGTCGCCCCGACTCTCCCAGAGCAGCCCCTCACCTCACCCTCCTCAAGACGGCGCTCTCCCTCCCGGAATCGACCCCCTTCGAGCGTCTGCGCACCCTGCTAGCGAGCAACGCCTCCATCGCCCGCTACCTCGTCCTCAACCTGATTCCCTCGCCGGCCTTGCCCCCGCACATCATCCCGCGCTCGGACGCCATCGAGCCAAGCGAGCTCCGCGCCTCGGAAACGTCCCGCGACCTCTACGCCGGGGCCCTCCAAGCCCTGCTCTCCATCCGCTGGCCCTCCGACGGCGTAGGCCAACATCTGCCGCGCGTCCTGGAGGACGTCCGCACCGTGCAGGACCTGCAACGCCGCCTCCCGCCGTGGGAGATCCTGCTCCGGCCCGACATCATGGATGCCATGGCCCTGGACCACTTGCGTAAGCTCCTCCCCGCGGGCCTTCGCGCCGAGAAGCGCATGAGCTACGCCCACGTTGCCCGCCTTGCGCGCGTCATGCCCCTTGCGGAGGTCGGCCAGTGTCCCGACACCGACCACGTCATCTGCGCGGGTAAGGCGGAGCAGTTCGTCCGCCTCGTCGAGACGGGGGGGATAACACGGCAACAGCTGCTAACTCCGGGGGCGGTGAGAGCCGTACTGGGAATTCGGAGGGGGAAGGAAAGAACGCAAGAGACGGTCAGACGGCGGCGTTTGGAGGGTAATGGTCCGACCCCGTTGCGTTCTCTTATGTATGATGATGAAAACTGAGTGACCGGAAGAGAAATCCAAGTGCAGCCCAAAGTGGGAAAAAAAGTACATACCCAAAAACAGAGAAGAAATTGGGATGGGACTGGGATAAGAGCATTATGTAGCCAGCCATATAATCCAAAGCAAAATTACAGAGGGGTATCTTGCTCCTTCTATGTGCTAATAGCAGCCTGAATTCCGATGAATGCTGAGAATATGTCCAAAAGATAGAGAGAGGGTTATATATATATGAAAAAAAAAGGGGGGGGGGGGGAAGATGAAAACAAAGATGAAAAAACAAATCGAAAAAGAAAGGACTTGTCATGATCGTGTATGTCACTTGTCTCCCCCTCTTTCTTTTGGTTATACGTGCTTCCATCCGTTCCACACCAACACCTGACCCTCATTGATTATGCAAACCCGGCCTGGCTCCTGGTGGCTGACGCTCTGGGCCTCCCACGTCTTCATCCGCTTGTCCACAACGTGGCCTTTCAGGGCATCGGTCGTGAACCAAGCGAGAAGACGGTGCCACCACAACCCTTTTGCAATGGCCCACATGCTCACCCAGCTGGAGCCATCGGCCGGGTTGACAGCGGCATATGCTTCGGGTTGATAGGCGACACGGACACGGGGGTTGAGGTAGACGCCGAGTTCGCCAGAGAGCGGGTTGTCAACGTGGACAAGGCAGCACTCGGAGGCCTCGAGATGGAGGGTGGCGAGTGAGTCTGGGATAGAACGGAACTGCAAGCGCTTATGTTTCGCGGAGGAGGTGAAGGGAGCGGCGGGCATGGCGACTATGCCGTTCCAGCAGCTCTGGACCGGAACGGCATCGCTGTGGGCGACCATGGCAGAGCGACTGGCTGGGGCACGAAAGAAGGGCCAGGTGGCGGTAAGATAGGCGTCTCCGCGGATGTCGCGTAGGGCGAAGGTGTCGTAAAATTCGGCATGATCCGAGAAGTCAAGGGAGCAAGCGGCGGCGTAGATACCGCGGTTGGTGTCAAGCAGGGTCAAGACATCTTGGACCTGTTGGGTTGAGTGCGTGCGTCCGTTAGCTAGCTGTAAGGTTACATACCCAACCCCCTCCCCTCCTTCATTGGACGTGGAATCGGCGTTCCTTGGAAAAATGAAATGACTTACACTGAAGACGACGTCGTTGAGGAACAGGACCTTATCATACCGCTCCCCCTTATCGGCCAAGTCCCAGAGATCCCGCAGCGTCATGTTCCGTAACCGGGCCAGGAAAGGAATGCGACGCATCTCGGCGCGGGAACGGGGCGTTTTCATCCAACCCTCTGGCAGCGGATGACCCTCGGGAGGCATGTTGCGTTCGAGCTCGTCCTGGTGCGTGGAGATGTCGAGGACGATATTGCGGCGGACACCGCGGGCGGCCAACTGGGCATCGAGGGTGGCCAGCTCGGCTTTCGTTGTGTCCCAGGATCCGCTCTCGTAGACGCTGACAAAGACGTTATCGCGGCCGAGAGCGTCGACGAGATCGAGAACGGCGGGGGTCCAGTGGTCCCGGACCAAGGCGGCATCGTTCCAGTGCAGGGCGGCAATGTAGATGCGTTCCTGCTTCCTGGGGACGTCAAAGGCAGCCGGTGGCCTGTCGAGGTGGGCGATTCGACGGTGGATGCAGAAGGCGTTGAAGAATGTGACGAGGAAGAGGAAGAGGAAGATGAGATGAATGACTCTGGACCGGAAGAGACGCCGGAGGGAACGCCGACGCGGCGAGACGCGGTAACCAGCGACGGCGGCGGCGATGCGGGTCATGATGACGATGACGACATAGAGCACAAGGGCTATTCCAACGTCACATGAATAAATCTGCAATCGGCTTGTCAACATGGAGGTGCTCTTAGTGCATTGCAGTTCGCTCGGTAGTAGGACCCAGGGGATCTGAATGTGTCACCACTCCGTACGTGAGGATGGTCCACGTGTACGTGTGGTATATAGCACGGCGCGAGGTGGTCTGACGCAACCTGGCCAGAAAAAAGAGGACAGTGAATGAATACTGTACCTGGAACTAGAGATGAAGCGACTGCAAGGAAATTGAAAAGAAACGGGGCCAAGGGAGTACGTTGTAGATGATGGTGGTACGTAAGGCAGGGGTAAGTTGAAGTTTCGCCCTGCTAAACTTTAAGCAGGAGAGAAGATGAGATCGGACCACTCAATCACTGGAGTACGAAATACTGCCAAGGTACTGACGTACGTGGGTTACGTTACGTACCTGGGCGCGTAAGTAAGGTATCTCAAGGTAGGTAGATAGATATTTGGGACGAATATGTACAGCAGAGGGAGAACTAATAAGGTACGGATAAAATACAATGGTCCTCTGTACGGCGTATTCGTACATCTTACTCCTAATTTACGTAAGGAGTCGTGACAATGTCCAAGACCCAAGCAAGCCCTCTATGGAGAGCAAATACTATAATTACGAGCTAAAATCAAAGGGAGGATAGGATGTTGGGTGAAAGGACGAGACGAGGTGCAGCTTGGAACCAGGCCACCAACCCCTGGCGAAACACGTGTGGAGCTACAGGCCGAAAGAACGCACCAGCCCAAGTCGGTTACATCAAGTGCAGGCAGTACTGTACCTTATGTACGAAGCACGGCGTAATTTCATCGCGGGTACCTGAAGTACGGATGCCGCAAACGTGTGTGTCGTTCGTCCAGGGGAGGATTTGCAGTGACCGATATGTCAAAACACAGACAATTGACATACGGAGTACGAATACGATCCTTCTTGTACTTTGTACGAAGTGCGACGTGCCATGATCGACCCTAGTGTCGCTGTGTGAATTGTGCTACGGAGTCATCATTCCTGGTTCCGAGACATGATTGGTCTGTACCCCTCGACAAGTCCATGTCAGATCTGATCTCGGTTGTCGGCAGGAACCGTCAATTCTGGACCTCGTACTAACAAAGTAGGTACATACCTACCTAAAAAGGTACCTACACAGTTACGGACAACCTGAGTACGGATGAACACGCTACGAACACATCATAATAAGCATCACATCCAGCGCGCTCTGTCTGTGTATTTGTCTGCTATCATACTCGTTTTAATGTTAACCACCGGAAGTTGGATCTCCCTTGTCAGCTCACAGACGGAATTACACTCATTAACTCAGTACCCTTAGTTACTTTTCGTTTTACAATCCTCGCTGTATCCCCAATACCGTGCCGACCACGTCGTTCCCTTTACCATCCATCACTCCTGTGCCTCACCTCCTCTATGAGGAGAAGAAAGCCAAGGAGGTAACAGCCAACGGAGGAATTCCGTGCTCCATAACGCTGGACATCAACGCTAGGTTTGACACCTTCAGGTGTTCCACCCCGAATAGAACAACCGACCTGCTGTCGGCGGGTCGAGTTGCTTATTTAGCAAAGTGCAGATCATAGCCGAGCCATTTTCGCCTCAGCACCTGCTCCACCGAAAGACCGGGGTAACCGTATGTGAGGGGCAGGAAGAAGTACCACCCGGCCACGGCCACGGCCAGCACCACTCCGCATGCGACCCAAACCCCCATCGTGCTCTGCCCCGCCAACCGCTCCCGTGCCGACAGGTATCGCTTCGGCCCGGCGCTCTGCGTCTTGCCACCACTTGGACCCTCTTCCGCCGGCTCAGCTGTGAACACAAATTCGATCAGCGAGCCTGCCACCAGACACGACGCCAAATGGGCAGGCAGGTAATGGTGCAGGAACAGCTGCCGTCCCATGAGATAGAACGGGAAATAATGTGTCGCCCACGCCAGGAAGAAGAACCCTGTCGAGTTGTATAGTCGCGATCGAGTACCTGGAGCCGGAGTTAGCCAGAGTGGACTGTGTGGTCTAGACGGAGAAGAATCTGTTTCATCGGAGGAGACCAAGTCATATGCAAGGTAAAGGAAAAAAAAAAGAAGAAAAAAAGAGGGGAAAGGCGGCAACGTACGGCGATCCAGGGCATCGATACCCCGTCTGAGAGAGATCTGATCGGCACCGATGATTCCGACGAACACGGCCAGCAGACTGCTCGCTAGCCACCACCCCACGGGGTTGCCCAAGAAGTAGATCTGCTGCCGCGTGTCGTTCTTGGTCCAGAAGCTCACGCCCCGCAGCAGGAACGGCCACTGGTACGGATGGCTCGCGTACGGGTGGCTGCTCGTGAGCTTGCTATTGTGGTAAAACATGGCCCGCTGCAGCTCGAACCACTTGCGCAGGAAAGGCAGCGTCTTGACCTGTCTCTCCGGCTTTTGCCGCCGCGGGTCGCTCTGCGGGACCGACGGGATGTCCTCCACGAGCCACACGTTGGAGCTGGGCGCGATCTGCTTGTTTCCATTGATCTCTTGCTGCTTGAAGGCCCACTCTGGCAGCGGCTTGGTGTGAGTCCACATGGCCACCTTGCTGGGGTTGTGGATCAGCTTGAAGTGGCTCGCGATGCTCTTGAACGCCTGGCTCTTCTTGCCATGCTCAATCCGGACCTCGAAAAGCGTGTCCTGCGCTCGTTTACCAATTGCGTCTGCCACGGCAACCGTGGTGAACTCTTGGTTGGTCGGATAGGACGGCGAAGCGACGTCGTGGGAAAGCAGGACCGTATCGGTCACCACGTGGCGCAGGCGGACGAGGTCGTGATTCTTGACCACGCGGCCCAGCGCCTCGTCGCCGTCCATGGGCAGAATCTGCCAGTAGTTATTGGTGTCGTTATACGGGTACCCGGTGACCTGCTGGCCTTGGCTGGATACGCGGCCGTCGTCGTACCGGAGAGGGTATCGGTCGGGATGGCTGTGGAGATATGCCTTGGTCTCCTTGTGCCGGATCGTGAGAGTATCGTAGTACTGAATATCAAGCGAGTTGGCCAGCATGACGTTATCGCTCAGGGTCTCCTGGAACTCGGGTGTCATGAAGTCGTCGCCGGGGCCAGAGCGGGTCAGGACGGCGAAGTGAACTTGGAACCAGAAGAGGTAGAAGAGGAACGGCATAATGATGAGGCCGAAGGCACGAGCGCCAAAATGCTTGCTGAATTGGGACAGGCTCAGGGCGCCGCCGGGACGCTTCACGTCCAGGAGTTCCCAAAGGTCGATAATAACTGCAGAGCCGATGGTGATGAAGGCAAAGGTGCCGACGTACTTGACCGAGATATCTGCAGACAAGGCAAAGCCGGTGAGGATAAGCCATTTCCACCACTTGCGCGAGAAGGGCTCATGGCGCAGCTTATAGAACTTGATATAGAAGAGCAGGCTGCAGGCCATGCAGAAGACGAGGGTGGCATCGAGCAGAATCAGGCGAGTCTGGCCGATATGGGCGTTGTCCAGAAGCACTAGGCCGGCGGCGATGATGCAGGCAGGAAGGGTGTAGCCCGACTCCCACATGATGAGGTACACCACCGACACGGTCAGGGCGCCGAGGATAGCAGGCAGGGCCCGGAAAGCCACATAAGGGACCTTGTTGACAATGTACGAATCGCCAATGTTCTCGAAGTGGAAATGACCGTCGTAGCCCACCAGCCATCCCATGAAAGCAAAGAGAAGTTTTCCAAAGGGAGGATGGACGTCGAAGAAGTAGGTTCGCTCGAGGTAGTAAGAGGCAAACTGTCCGAGGGGGGGCGGGAGTAGAGTCAGTCAAAGAGGGCTCGAACAACGATCAGACTGATAGATATGAGGCTCGATTCAACTCACTTTGCCGAAATGTACCTCGTCGAAGACGACCTCATTGGGGTGGCTGATGCCCCAAAATCGGGTGAGAAACCCGAACAAAGTAATCAAAACGAGACCAATGCGGTATTCTGTTTCCGAGGTCTTCGTCTTCTGCTGTACGGACTTGACCTTGGAGACCTCTTGCTCCAAAGGCGCAGCCGCGGGCGACTTCTTGGAGCCCGTGTTGCGCTGACGCAAGCTGCCTTGAGGGACGGCAGTAGACGCCATGGCGGGCGACAATATGCCAGCTATAAGGCGTGACAATAAGGGGAAAAAAAAGAAATAAAGAAGGGAAATAAATTAAGAGCTGTCGCCAGTGGTCAGTCCAGCCGTAAAACAGATATTATGGTTCAATGAGTGTGGAAGGAACAGGGAAGGCCACCGCGGCTTCAAAATATTTGCTGTGGGAGAATGAACGATGTTGTTTGTCGGAAGGGTCAAAAGGACAGGTATCGCATATGTGGAATGGAGCTTCACCAAGCTGACCTTGAACCGAGAAAGCTCGGACTAGTACTACGCACCTAAGGTAAGGACAGGAAGATTTCAAAGAAATGGGCCCTACATCAAAGGAGCCAAGAACGTTGAAAGGGGGTGTTGGTTGAAACAACGTCAACTGGAAGGGAGAAGGAGTCGAAGAAAAAAGGGAGCATCGATCGCCAGTAATAAAGAGAGTGGACGAGGAAGCAGAAAGGGAGTGGTGTGGCAGTGATAGGTACGTACCAAGAATGCGGCTCAACCCACTAGTCGGGTTTCTTGACGTAGGTTTCCACGAAGAGTTGAGGTAGCAATCCCTTTTAGAAGCAACTGCTCTGAAGAAAGGGGCTTCTTTCTGATGACTGTCCTTCTGTGGGAATACGATCCCTGTCAGTAATTACCTACGTTGTAATGTTACAACCAAGTTGGGTCTGGACTCTTAAGTACGACGGCAAATATTTCTTCCGTCTTCCAACACCGTTCTGGATTATATTACTAAGCGGCTCAGCGGTGAGATCATGATCGTAGGTGTGCCTTTTGAATTGAGGTGCGTACCACCATACAGAATGCAATCAGGATGTACCCTAACAATGGGCCGGATTGTCCCGCGAAGCATTTCAGTAGCAATCACTGTTGATAATAGCGTTCAGAATTTAAGTTGTTCCAGAAGTTGTATATAATTCGCATCAAATTAATCGCCAGTTCTTCCATGGCAATGGAGGCTCAAGGAAGCAGTGATGGGCCGCAGGTACCCGCTCGAGGTACTTGCATACGAATCCCGCTGACGGACGAGGGGCAGTCCGAAGAACGGAGAGCTACAAGCTCGACGAGGGGCAGTTTGACCATAAAGCTCCCCCACCGGCCCAGGACCCCCCATTGCCCCGTTGACTGCCATCTTTTGTGACTCCATATTTGGTAATGTCACGTCTTTCTCTCATGTCCTCCCGTTGTTCGGTCTTCCATAAGACAATCAGTTCTCTAATCCCACGGGCCGCGCCAGTTTCAATCCCGCACCTTCGTCCGGCATCTTCTCTTGGTTTCACCACCGTGACGAAAAGCTTCACGACAAGTTCTCGCACCATGTCGGCTTCCATCGTATATAGCAAGGATGCTCCCTTCCGTACGTCTATCCTCTGCTCTGCTCTTCTCACCATTGTGTCGACATAATACGTCGAATATTACCCGAACCACACCCTGTTGGATGGGGAAGTCAATGCCTAACTGACCTCTTTCTCGCGTGGCATCGACAGCCCTGGGTCCTTACGTATGATCTCCGTTATTTCCGTATTCCGTGTGGTGATGCAGGCATCTGGAGTTCAGGTCTAACCTCATATCTTTCCTACTCCTACAGTCCCAGGCCGTGAAGACCCCAACAGCCATTTATTTGTCCGGTCAGATCCCCATCACTGCCGACGGAAAATTCATTGAGGGATCCATCGCCGAGAAGACTCGCCAGTGCATCACGAACCTCAAGGCTGTCTTGACCGAGGCAGGCTCTAGCATCGAGAAGGTCGTCAAGGTCACAATCTTCCTTGCCGATATGGACTACTTCGCTGTACGTGAGACCCTTACCACGTTCCCGTCATACCCTTGGGGGGTTGTTTTCTTCTTCATCTCACTGAGACAATGGGCCATCCTTGGCCATTGGTCGCCCGATCCAGGAAATGAATGGCGAGTACGAGAAGTGGTTCATCCACAAACCCGCTCGCAGCTGCGTCGCCGTCAAGACACTCCCTAAGAACGTCGATGTTGAGATTGAGGCTATCGCCTTGCCGTAAGACGAGTGGACTCCATATGATAGTTGCGACGAAAGCAGTCAGGCTGACTTGCTCTCACATTTGATTTGGAAGGGGAGATTTGCCGACGCCCTCTCATCTTTAATGCGGTTCAAGGTGGAATGTTAGACTGCGAGCCGACAGGTAGTCGCCCAAATCTATTTCTCAAGTGGCGTACAAGACTGCTCTACTATGACATGTGCTGAAAACCTCAAAGTGTAAACGTTCACCAACGCAGACCAGAGACAGAGAACAATGACAGGCCATCTTCTCTGTATGACGAGTGACAAGAGGCGTAGAGATGGAGAGGAATGGCTTGCATTTATCCTACATGCCTAAGGTGTATAATGCCCGTCAATCAAAGTAGAGCGGGAAGCCACATTTACCCAAAGCATGGCTTGTCCAAGAGTCCGTCGAGTGAGCAAGAGATTAACGTCTTCTCGACATCAGAACCAGGCCTCGCAGGTGGATCGAACGATGAAGTAGGATGATCGAGTACAGAAACAACTTGTCACGTAGAGGTGCAGTACTGGTAGAACGAGAGAACAACCCAAGCGGCTGACAGTGGAGTGGGTATGCAGAAAGGTGCTCTATGATTCTACATTCTCCCTTCTATCGGTACATTCCCCCAAGTCCGCTCAAGTCCGCTCAAGTCCGCTCCAACCCCCGCAGGCTGGTTGGGAACCCGCAGCGCCAAACTCCCACATAGATTTGTCAACAGCTTATTTTACTCCTCGTCATCGCCGCCCTCGACATATCTCGCGCGGATGTCCTTCCATTGGCGCTATACCCTCGTCAGTCAGCGATTGTGTCGTGAAAATGGCGTCTCTCGTAATGACACATCCGGATTGGCCCATTGCCAAAGCTTCGAAGCAAAGAGATATAAAAGAGGAAAGGGCAGGGAACCTATCACTTACGCCCTTGTTCAGGTGGTTCCAGTACTTGTCGGCAGCCGAGTTGAATCCACTGCAGAGGCGCATCCCAGGTTAGCCACGCCTTGTTTCAAACCCAAGTAGGATACAGACTCGTCAATGGATCCATGTTGGAGTCTAGTTTGGCAATCAACGAAGTGGTAGGGGGGGGGGGGCGGAGAGACGTACATCTCGAAGGCAAAGCCTGCGCCGAAAACGAAGGCAAGCATGGAGTAGTTGTTCTTGAAGAGCGCACTGTCATCGGGTAAACAGTCAGCATAACTGCCTCCTTTGCGCATTTGCACGAGCCTGTCCCTCTCTTGTCTTCCCGCGGCGTCTCCGTCTTTCCCTTCTCTTCTGCCCACAGGCATGGCCCGCAACTCCCCGTTCCGCTGTTCCCCGCAGGCCACATTGCTCCGAGGACAGGTTTCGGATGCCCTCGACAAGATATATCGCCCAGTTTCGAGAATTTCAAGACCAGAGAAAACGGAGGAAAATCGAAGGGAGGACTTGCTTGTAGAGTGTTCTCGTGGCGCCGGCCTGTTCGGGTTGCGTAATTAGTCGGGATCTTCCGGTTTTGACTCAATTGGGCATGGTGAAGCGTCAGCCACTTACCATTTTGACGGTTTGGTGCGAGAGCGCGCTTCTGAGGAGAGAAACGAAGTGCTGTGTGGGTGGTCGCGATTGAATGGCTCGGTTGTGTGTCGTTCGAGATAAAGTCCAAAAGGAGCCGGCGAAATTCGTGATGTTCCGACCTGTTGCCGGCCACAAACGAGACTTGGTACCTATCATGTAAGCCATGATTGGATGTTGATGTTTGGGACCCACTCGTCCTTCTGTGTTCGTGGACGGGCCGAAGATTTCCCGCCGAACTGGGACTTCGAGAAACGCCTCATCCAACGGTCCAAAAGAACCCAACATGCCTTACAAAGTACAGACAGGGGTTTGACATCACACAGACAGGGAGGGCCCTTTTCTGTGCAACGGGATGTCTGACTCTTCTTAGCGACTATCACAGTATGTAACTGAAATCCTTGTTAATCTCATGGGGCGTACTGGTACTGAGGCTGCCCCCCCGTGCGGTCGAGACACTGACTTGCCATTCTCATAATTTGTGATTAATCATCGACCACATGGCGGGGTCTGCTCTTTGCCCTGGAGATTGAACACCATCACACAATGCCTGACGTGGGGCTGGCTTCTTTCCCAGTGCCCAAAGCCAATCCAGCGACGGTTTCACTACATCTCATGGTGCAAACAATCTTTCGCTCGTAACCCACACCCATCGTGTGATTCTGGAAGGCTCTCCATCTCCAACACGCTTTTTCTGTGCCTCTCCCTCTCGTACGTTGTCTTAAAGAGCTGTATGTGGTCTGGGTGGCTTGCTTATGGCGTCGCATATTTCCATGCCAAATGTCTCAGCCGTTGACTTGATCATCTTCGCTAGGTTGCCCGCATACAACGTATCAATTGATTCCCGACGTACACAGTTTGAGCGTTTTCGGCTGGACCACTGCGCTTCCTTTGCAGCCTCGGACCTCAACGACCAACCAATCACTCCTCACCCTCCAACGAACCCTTGCTACAATGACTGGTGGACCGAGGAAGGCGCAGCCCACCAACGCGGGTATCATCACCGATAAGACCGGTCAGCGATTCATCCCCGAGTCCCAGCGCTCCGACGGCAGCACCCGCAAAGCCATCAAGGTCCGCCCAGGTTTCCGTCCCACCGAAGATGTCGAACTCTACCGCACCCGCGCCGCCGAAGCCCGCACACGCGGTCAACGAACAGGCGTTCCCGGCGCCGAAGGCCTAGCCACCGAGAACAAACCCGACAGTTCATCTTCCGCCGCCAGTCTCAAGAACGCGAAGCGGCGCGAGGCCCGGAAGAAGGCGAAGGCCGCCGCTGAGGGGGAGGGACAGGACGATACCACTATCAACCCCGATTCCGCTGGAGCCAACAAACCCGGCGATGATAATACACCCGCGACCTCGACTGCTGGAGGGGAGAATCGGGAGCCGACCCCTACGGACGCCGAAGAAGTCGAGCGTGCGAAGAAGGCGAGAAGTTTGAAGAAGAAGCTGCGGCAGGCACGGGAGCTGCAGAACAAGAAAGAGGGTGGTGAGGCTCTGTTGCCTGAGCAGATTGCCAAGGTGATCAAGATCAACGAGCTGGTGCGTGAGCTCGAGGCGCTGGGCCTCGACCCTACCGATGTCGGTGACTCCAAGGAGAGCAAGACACCAGGGACTGAGGGCTGATTCGCTATGCCCCATGGAAAATTTGTGGAAAGTTTTGGCTCCTAGCACACGGCAACGAGGGTATCGAGGTTCGACGTGGTGGCAGACGATTGAACGTGATTCACCGCATCAGGCCACGCCACTCGAATCTTCCTCCTGACCCACGATCCACATGGGTGCGTCGCTGTACCACGATTACATACGATTTCACTCGACACGAACTGCGCTATCCATCGTACGTCAGGCCCCAGGGAATGACCCTCGCAGATATTGCTCGATGCTTTGTGCCAGGTGGAAACGCTGTATGGGCCGCCAGCTATCTGTCCATCCTGTCGATAGTCTCTACATGGGAGACAACACCAGATATGCTCGAGCACCTCGGATACCTGGCGCCCTGTCAGACACGCTGGTTCAAGATGCACTATACGTTACGTCAGCCCCCGCATTTCTTCAGCTGAGGGGTTTTTGAGGTTCCTGAAGATGAAAGAAAAATCAAAGTCGTTGGTCTACGTGCGGAGGTAGACGGCTGTATATAAGCGTTGGCGAACTAGCTAAGACGATTTGATTTCATTTTGGGTTTTTTTCGTTGGTGGGACGCGTCATGCTTTGGGACTCTCGCGATCTTCCTCTTTCATCTTGGCCCAACATCTACGTCACTCAGCACCGAGGAACAAGAACCAATACGGCGTGCCAAGCATGTAACTGGAAACGCGAATGAAGATAGGTCCTTGCTGACAGCTGGCGATCACAAAGCCCACGGTGTTTGGCGATACATGCATAAACGGGACCTTGGCTTTAAAGCAAAATAAAAGACACATCTTGATGTGAGCCATGCTATCTATTATACATAGTGTATGAACAAACGCAGGATACCAGGCAACGAGGCTGGGCATCCTGTCATTAACCCGACGGCTTCCCCTCGACATCTAGTGCCGTTGCTTCCAGTGGCGAAATCCACTCAAGGGTATCAGCCAGCACCTCATATTCCCTCCCAAAAGGTGCTGGAAAAAGTCTCAACTCGCTGCCGTCTTTATTCTCATTTCTCCTTCTTTCTTTCTTCTCTCGCAGCTCTAGTCTTCATGATTGCTCTTCTTCATCGATTCTTCATGTTTGTCTAGGTACGCGTATGCTGGCAGTAGTCGTTTTCGGGCAAAATCTGTGCTTAGGACGACCCGCTCCTGGGCTTCATGACCCAGCGCTCCTGGCCCTCAGGGAAGGGGACACCCAGCTCAAAGAGCTTGACGAGGGCGTCGGAGAAGTCCTTGAAGAAAACGTCGTTGTCCTTGGCATAAGTCTGGACCCACTTCTTGAAGTTCTTGTCCTGGACGAGAGCAAGGTCGGCGGGAAGCATCATGAGGCTCTTGCTGGTCTTGTCCTCGTACTGGGCGGGACCGTTCCACTTCTTCCACTGCCACTTCTCGTCAACGAGCAGCTTGAAGAAGTCGTTGGTGAAGACGGTGGGGGAGAAAGTCCAAGGGCCGTCATAGCCGCTGCGGTCAGTGTGGGCGCGGCCGAGGGCATGGGCGCCGATGAGGGCTACGATCTCCTGGTCGTTGAAGCCCATGCGGTAGAAGATGTCGCGGATGTGCTTCTGGGTCTTGGAGGCATCGGGAAGGCGTCCGTCAGGGGTGCAAAAGGAGACGTCGCGATCGGCACGGCCGGGGCGGTAAGGAATGGTGGGACCCTGCAGCTCCTGAATGGCGGCGACACCACCGAGGATCCAGAGATCCGAGTAGGTGATCCAAGGGAACTTCTCTGCAGAAAAAAGTGGGTTAGCAATTGGAAAACTTGCGTGTGACGAGACAAAAGCAGCGGGCGAGACTCACTCTTCACGGGCTCCAGGAAGTCACGGGCGGCCCTGAGGCCGGCATTGGCGCCGTGGTCAGCCTCGGGCGAGAAGCGCATGGTGGCGCCGTTGCTTCCACCGGTACCGGTCTCCTTGTCATAGGTGCCGCTGGCGTGCCACGCGAGACGGAGGAGGACGGGGCCATAGCTGCCATCTTCGTACTCATCACGCTCCTCAAGAAGAGCAGCGATCTCGTTGTAGACGGCCTGGTAGTCGTCCCTGGTGGGGTTGGTAACAACCTTGGGGGTCGAGCCGGCCGAAACGCCGCCCTGCTGAGTGTAGTACCAGGCACCACCGGCACCGGCAGCGGCCAGGCCGGAGAGCCAGAGCCAGGCAGAGCTGCCGGACTTGGTGGGTTCGGAGGAGTAGAAGCGGCGGCCCTGGTTGCGGAAGGCCTGTCTTGGGACGGCGACGAAAGCGCCACGAGTGGACGAGCGCAGAGCGCTGCGGGCGAACTGACGGGAGACGTTGGCAGCCATCTGCATGACCGGCATGTGGTTAGCCAGGTTGACAACTGAGCTTAGCGTGTGGAAAAGTGCTAGTGAGGGGATCGAATAGTCAAGGTGAATGGCGAGATGAGATACTTCAGGTCCGGATGGGCCGAGTTGTATTGGATGAAGGGGCAACAGGAAACAGCTAAACCGGAGATACGGGCTGCTGGGTAAGTAAACGTATTTGGAGATATACCTTACCTTTTAATGAAGGAACGGAAAGATGGGATTTACGTTGATAATCGCCAGACAAAAAGAACTTAAGTGATGGTCAAAATTGAGGAGGCCGATTAAGAAGGGGAGGAAATCGTGAAGGGTTATGTGAAGAGGGAAAGAGTCAAAAGAGGGCACGGGAAGGAAAGATTGAGGACATATTTCAAAAACCTCCACCCAAGCCGTCTTTGCCTCCTTTAGATCCCCTTGCATTTGAAATCTGCTCGGGGCCGGGCAAGCTCGGGGAGAGAAAAATATGGGGCCAACGGGACACCGAATGTGAAATTAAAGGCTTATCATTGGCTCCCGTGGCTACTCTACCTTAGTCCAGCTGGTCAGTTGGAACACCCACCCCACGACGAACGCGAAATAACGTGACTCGGTACCTTGCAACGGAAGCCATTAATGTGGGGTCGGATGGTTCTGGTGCTTTCCAAAGCAGTCCGGCCCACGCTCGCCGATATGGGCGCTTTAGCTCGGCATTCGAGCTCCCGGTGTTGCCACCCCGAGGTCTTTTAACGTATCAGTTAAGTAGGTACCTACCTAACTAGGTAGTGGTTAGGATCGTATCTACGAGGGTATCTGGAGTCATTCACTGATGACTGGTATCCATCTGCCTGACATGACATCGTCTGCCAAAGCGTTCTGAGGTGGCGACGAAAATAGAGCCGTTTGAAAAAGAGTGTATGGCTAGCAATGTGTGCCTGCAATCTACAGCACTTCGTATAATTCAGAGAAGCGGAATAACATGATCCGATATCGTTCCTACACCGTACTTCGCAGGTGTGGGTTTGTCGGTTCCCTCGTCCGAAGCTGCTGTGTGGCAGCTGCGAGATAGGGCACGTCAAATGCCCGCGGGATGACGAATCGCGAATCGACAGATCTGACAAGGTGAACTTCGACTTCGGAGGTACAATACTTGAATGACTAAGCCCACGTCTTCGCTGATCAAGTACAGGCCAAGCCAGCAATAATCTTCAGTTCAAGTCTTGGATATAAAGTCTCGTCGTGTGCTTTGTACCTGTAGTTCGTTTTAGCTTCAGCTTTACCGACAACCCAAAGTGCTCTAGTGTACTGGGCCGGGTTCCCCCGCGCCTCTCGATGTCATGTCCGAACCCGACTTGGTGGCACACGTTCTTCCAAGCAGATTTCCCCCACTTACCAAGAACAAACCGCTAGACACGTTTCAGCTTTTTTGATTGATGATTCTAAGACCATCTCCTCATCATAAAGGAAATACCAAAGACGGGACAGCCGAGTATGCCATTGGAACATAAGTATATGACCTAGACAGCTGTGCCAGCTCAACCATCCATGATTGCTTTAGCTGAACAAAGACACACTGATTCCATCCTTCTCAAATCCCGGCCAATGGGTTCGGCCCGGAAGAACCACCCCCTGCTTCTCTCTGAGTCTGGTAAATACACAGTTGACCTCCTCAAAACGACATCCAACCCTCACCGCGCCGAGAAGACCTAGCCGAAAAAAAACGAAAGAGAACAAAGAGAGAAAATCGAAGTTATCATACAAAATAACGACCCCTTCGGGAGGAGACGACACGGCCCTATATCTGTCCGTTCACCTTGCAGGCAGCGCTGATCACTGGTACCTATCCACAGAACCCAAACCCCATAGCAACGTTTATGTGCTCGGGCAAGACGTGGCGAATCAGTGGAAGGTTGCTGTGCCTTGGCCCTCAACTCCCGCGCTTCCTTGGAGTTGATAGTATGGTAAATACCTCGCTTCAGCCTTGGCCTTGGTGGCTTCGTCCATCTCCGGTCCCGCCAGTCCATCCTCTTTGCCGGCACTTTTGCTCCCTGCCAAAACAGAGACAGAGGGTGGTCTATGTTGAAGTCAGTTTTGTTTGAGATCGAGACAACATGGTATAAAGGAAAGAAACTGTAGACTCACCCGAAAATCTCTCGGTCGATAAGCAGGAATTGCTTCATCGCCCCTTTGCCGCCCCGCTGCTGGAGATATTCGAGGTAAATCTGGAACATGTACTTCTTGGTCGCCACAGACAGGCGGCTCTTCTGCCGCAACTCGTCAAACACGTGCTTCACCCGGTCTGCGTGTTGCTCCTCCGTCTCCGCGGTCGACGGCTGCTGCAGCTCAAACTCGAGCCACTTCTCCCAGAAGACGCGGCTATCTGCGTACCACTGCGAATTCTTGAGGAAGACGTTGCGGGCTTCCTCGGCAGATCCCTTGACCTTCCACAGGAAGAATGCCCACTCAGCAACCAACGCCGCCTTCGTGAAGAGGTCCACATGCGGAGAGTCGATCTGGTTCTTGAAAACCTCCACCGCCGCGTCTAGGCTAGCCTGGCGGCGCTCTAGGTGCGCCCAGGACGTGATGGCCTCAATGCAGTCGGGCAGCTTGGTAAGGATGGACGCATGGATATCGCGTGCCATGTCGATCCGGCCGCAGCTCTCCTCGAAATAAGCAAATTGAAGCCGAATACCGGGGCGGCTAATGGGGACGAACAGCGTCGCGGCTTTCAGGTATATGATCCTAACTTCCTCCTCCTTGCCCTCTTGTGCGGACATCCATCTAGCATAGCGAAACCAGAATTCGTCGTAGAAGGCGCAGGTGACGAGACAGCGCTCGTACAAGAACACAACTCGAGTGTAGTTGCCCTCGGCCTCTTCAAAGTCGAGGTACTTCCGCCAGTTGGCGAGTTGTTGATGTTCGAGCTCCGTCACATGGAAGTACGGGCGCTTAATCTCCGATTCGTACGTCCACCGCTTGTTCGTCTCATTCTGCGTCTGAGTGAAGATTTCGTAGTACACGCTGTCGATTTTGGCTCGAATATCCCGCTCGACCTCCAGTTCCGGTCTCTGCACGCCGGCATGGGGCGCCTCTACCTCGGCTCGGTACCGAGCAAGTACATCCGGCTCGACAAGCTCGGTAAGCGGGCGCCCATGTGATAATTGCCGAAACTTTTCGTAGTAACGAGCGTACTGGTGCATGGGGATGCTGATGATGCGGCGGAGAATGGCGAGGACACGATCTTCAGCCTCCTGGCGCTCCTCATACTCAATGTACTTGTCCCAGAAAGGGTGAGCGAGGAAATCTAGACCGACATGCGTCGCGCCACGTTCGAAGAGCCTGCGCTCCACTGTTAGCAGGAAAAGCAGAGCGGTCGGGGGGGGAGGGGACAAGGAGAGGGCAAAGGCAAGCAATAGAGGAAGGAGGGCATGTACACGAAAGGGGGGAATGTTTTTTGGGAGATGAGCTAGCGAATCCAAGTCCCATGCTTTTCAAGTTCTGAAGGTGCACGGTGGAAAATACGAAATGATGCTTGTGTGTGCAGCAGAAAGCGGAAGTTGCAGACACGGGTCAGGTGGAGAATTCATTCAGCAGTGCCTGGTCAATGGTGTGAGAGCGCGTCTCAACAGTGTTACGGCTGGTGTTTGGCGGTTCTCACCGGCTGATGCCGAAGCAACCAAAGTGTGACCGGCTGGGCTGATACAAGGTCTCGCGGCCGGTGGTACGCGTGTGTGTGAGCGGCCAGTACGGCAGGCTGCGGGTGATGATGGTGATGTTAAAGGGAAGGGGAAGGAAAGCCACCATCTTCACTTACTCTCTGACGAGCGGTGGATCGTGAGTCGTCTCCATTTTGAAAGAGCAGTACTCGGTCCACAAGTCGACAGAATTCGTGATGCTCGCGCATCCTCGCTCGTAAATCTAGAGAAATGGCAGGGTTAGCAGGGGGTCGAGCCAGCTGAAATAATGCGAACGGAGGAGGGCCTGGAGGAATGAAGCACAAGACACTGTCCTGTCGAAGGGCGCGTGGGGACTAGCAAGGGCCACCAGGTTATCTTACAAGTTCGGCGGATTCAGGCCCAGAAATGTTGAATTCCAAGTCGGCATACTTTTTCCAGTATCCGAAAAGAAGAGGGAACTTGAGGAGGAAGCGATCGTACGCATCGCGAAGCGTGGCCAAGGCTTGAGGACTTGAGTTGCGGTTCAAACCCCCTTCGAGGCCCTCGCAGGCGCGGACGAGTTTCTCCCAGTTTTCAAAGCTGTCTGTATCGGCCTCCTGTTACGGAAGAAAGAAGCAGACGATTAGCTCTAATCACTGCACAGTGGAAGGCATAAAAAGGATTGGATTGCGACGTACGACTTCAGCCTGGAGCTTCTTAATCTCCGCCAGCTCCTCGGTGCTGCCGAAGTGATCAAAGTCGGCCATGACGGTAGCGGGTTTGGTGTCAAGTGTTTGCGAATGGTGTCTCGATAGATGCGCTTAAAAATGCAAGGTAAGGCCGAGGTGGCGGACGGAAAAGAGAAGCTCCTACGGGTGTCCGTAGAGAGGGTCGTAAATCGAGGCGATGGGCGCAAAGTTAAAGAGAAGAAGGCTGGGAATGGGGGGTGGATGGCTTCTGCCGTGCCGAGACGTGGACTTCCTGGGGAGCTCTGGCCTCCACCATGGAAGCGAACAATTTTTTGGGATCCAGTTGCATGGAGGTACTCCGTATATATACACAGTGCGACACGGGCTAAGTACCAGAAGCTTATATAAGCTGAATTGATTGGTCGCTTTGGCTGAACCCATCGCCTGATAAAAAGGCCAGTCCAAATTTTCTTCTGGCTCTTTTGACCTTCTTTTCAATAATCATTGGCTTGTGATGATATCTCAATAATCAATACATGATAGGAAGAGGATGAATGCCCCCTTTTTGGGAGCTTGATCTCAACTGTGAATCTGAAGCCAGAAGCCTTTTCAATCCAGCGAAGTCTCTAAAACCCATACATGGCTGGATCTCTTTGCTCGCTTGCCTCTTCGACTTTCTTCATCTTGTACAACGATTTCCTGTTCACACTTGTTGGCAGGTTGGCCATGGAGCCTGGCTATTAGCGGCATCGTCTTGAATGAACCAAGCAGGACGCACTTGGATTTTCTGCCAGTACAGAGGGAACTCGAGAAGCTAGTGCTTAAGTCTGGGTTTCTGGTCAAGTCTTCTTGTTATACGGAAGGTCAAGATGGGAGCTTGTCGTAGAGCTTGGATGGTATGGAAGGGGGTGTGGTTTGTGCCGTTGCTTGACGGTGATCGTGCTTCGTACGGAGCTGCCAATGCTTGGGGTCGTACGGCAAAAAGAAAAGAACCAGATAACAGATGAGAGGAGTTTCTCGAGTATCTACAGAGGCCGAGTGCCCGATGATAGGCAGAAACCACGTCGGTGACAACTCAAGAAAGTACTTGTATTGGCTGCCATCTCCAATAATTCTGGCGAGTGATCACTTCGGAAGATACCCTACAACCCCTGTTAAATGGTTCAAAGCGGTAAGGTTCCAGGAACGTAGCAGCACTAACAGCACCTAGGTACGATATAAAAGTTTTTCAACAACACACAAGATATCTCTAAGTTAGTCTGGAATCGATCTACAGCTATTTTATATCGGAAAGGATTCAGTTACTACTTATACACGCTATATTGGAGACTATAGATAAACTGATATTAAAGCCTATAGCTAAGCTAAGGGTAGGTATAGGTCTAGTAGGGCGAAAAGTTAAGCTAAGGGTTACTATGGGTCTGCTTTCTGATTAGTCACCCTAGGGAAACGTTTCTCCTAGCTTTACGAGTCGTGTGGTAACACGTTAACGTATTTTTCCCCTCTTTTCGTAGGCATTATAGCTTCGTTCTTTTTCTATAGCATCACCACTTTAACTTTTCATAAAGTGTGTTTTTTAACTATCACCCTCTTTATTCACTATCATAATTTTATTCATTTATATTATCTTCTTTAAGATATCTATTAGTATTAGGTATATTTTTCTATTATTACTAGAAACGATTCGGAAACGTTTCCGAATCGTTTCTAGACTATAAGCTAACTATTCTTCTATTCTTCTTAGAACCACGTCGAGTATTCTATTATTATACCCTTAAACTATTGTAAGACTTATACCTACTAGTGGTATACCGCTAGTGAAAATAGGGGTTAACGTCCTAACACTATACCAGAATATAATACCGATAATATAAGTATAAGAGCAAATCGACTATACTATAGGTTACTAATACTTTTAAAATGCTAGCAGGGTTCTAGTCGTACTAGGTAAAATATACTACCGTTTTCTGGAAGAAAACGGCTAAATATACTTTAATATAAGTTAGTTTATATTTACGAAATACTGCCTAGATACTAAGAAGTTATATCTATTTAGAAGTCGAAGTTTTCCTCTATCGGCGCCCTAAAAAAGTATATCCTCGCTACCCACTATATCTAAGCCGCTCCTAGTTATTCTAGGTTTTTACGCTCTCGCGATAATCTTAAGGCCGCAGAGTATTACTAAGCTATATACGATTTAGCCCATAGTATTAACGCTCCTCTTAATACTCCTCGTAAAGCTAAAGCTATTACGAAGGACTTATACCTTCGGAGGGTCCCTAAAGATAACGACGGTAATATAAGTAACGATCCAGAATTAATTCAGAAATAATTTCTAATATATTTAATTTCCTAGGTGGATATACTTCGTATAAAGTAAGACGCGTTTAGTTAGGGTCCCGAGACCCGTTATAAGGTATATATAGAATAGAATTCTATTAGCCGTAGTCTATTACCTTTTCTTTATATTATAGTATCGTGGACTAATAGGAAATATTTCCTAGACTACCCCCCCTCCTCCTATAACTATTTTTGCCTAGTCTAGTCTAAGTATCAGTATAAAATATAGCCGATAGCGAAGAAGTCTCTAGTAAGTTAATAACTCGTCTAAAAGTAATAGCTTATTCACTAATAATCTATTCTACAGAGTTCGCCAGTCCCGCCTATCCCCTCCCTCGTAACTATCGGGTCACTATAACCCGTCTTTCCACTCCTACTAATAAGGAGTAAATAAACGCGTTAGAAATATTCCTAAAACGTTTTCTAGTTACCGACCTTTCTTTTTATAGCTATATACTACTCGCTTAGTATATAAAGAGGCGTTTTTTTATTATAGAATAGCTTTTTTTCACTAGTTTATTATAATAATAATAAAGTACGATTCTAATAACTAAAGTATACCCTAATATTACCTATTATGCCTAACGCTATTAACCTAAATAACGTAACCGCTCTCTTTCTAGCTTGATTCTAGCTATTTCTAGTTAGAATCGCTAATTAGCTTCTTCTCTTTCCCTTATAATTCGGGTATGGGATTCACGATCCTTTCGATCTATTTCCCGCCGATATTCCTTAAAAGTAAGGTTTTACTCTTTAATTATTAATAAGGTTTATAAAGTATAAATTTAGCCGCGGGTAGCTTACTAATAAAGATTAGGTGGGTTTAGGCGCTAACTTTATAAGCGTTTAGGAGGGACACCGCTTAATAATATACTCCTTATACTTCTTACTAGGGAATTTCGAGAATCTAAATCTCCACTATTACTACTAAAGCTCCTAAAGTCCTCCGGAGGGTCTAAAGAAGATCTTAAAATAGATCGGCTTACTATTAAGGCATGGCTTTATAATCGGCTACGACTAGCGTCTTCACCATCTCTATCTACCTAAAGACGTTTTCTCTCTAGAATTATATAAGGTTAGTATCCCTTCTTTTATTAATTATAAAATTATAGAACTTACTTCTCCGATTTAGTATAGTATCGAACCGACCGCTTATTTTAGTATCTCGCTATAAGCTAAGAACCTAGAGAGAATAAGTATTATAATCAATAGTTAGTAGTATTTAGTCGTATTCCTTATACCTAGTAACGTTAGTAAATAGATTTTGGATACTCTATTAAAAACTTACCCTTAAATAACCTTAAGGATATAGATATATCGCCTAGTCTATTTATATAAAGCTTAATATATAACCTCCACCGTATTAGTGTTATTAGCAATTAATACCTAATCCTCTAACGAAATATTCGAAACTACGTAATAGAATCCGGTAGTAATATATAGGAGGCGCTTATATATAGCCTAGTTATAGAACTAGGGTATTATCTCTAAAAGATAAGTAAGTTTTTAGAATCGTTTCTAAATCGTTTCTAAATTGTTTCTGTATTAAACTTACGGGAAATCTTATTATAGAGGTTATTATAGTCCTCCTAAGTCCGGTATTTAAGTAGAGTTAATAAAAAATGATAGGCTAAGCCTTCTTCTCTTACTTAATCACGGCCTAGAATACTCTTAATACCTCTCCGAAAATAAACTATATAGAGTCGTATATAGCGAGATACCTAATCTTCCTAAATTTTAGCTAGTCGGAACTTTTACTATAGGTATCTACTAAAGCCTTAAACCGCTAGTAAGGCTAGTCTAAGGTTAATCTAAGAAGACTAGTACCGTATAGATATTTCTATTTAACTTATATATTATACTTATCTTTAAGGATATAGAAGACGTGGTGAAATATACAAAGATATATATCTATTATCTCCGAGTTTATATAGCACCTCGCTAATAGGAGTACTAGATACTATTAGAATCGATTTAGAAACGATTCGGAAATAATTCAGAAACATTCAGAAACATTCAGAAACATTCAGAAACATTCAGAAACATTCAGAAACGTTCAGAAACATTCAGAAACATTCAGAAATATTCAGAAGTATTCAGAAACGATTCAGGAACAATTTAGGAACAATTCAGGAACGATTAGGAACGATTAGGAAATAAACCTCTTTCCGAATTATAGCTATACTATACCTAAATAATCTCTTTCTGCTCTATACTATTAATGTATTTATAGTTAGCGTCGATAAACAACGATTTTATATCGGGAAACGTTTATATTTTTACTTATTCTTTAAAGAAGCAGATTACTATATAGTTATACTAGGTTTCGAACGAGTACTAGATATACTAAAGGAGGAATATCAGTAAAGATATATATAAATAATTAATTAAAAACTTATATATTCCCGTTTATTCGACTCTTTGATTTACTTAAGAGCTAAAGTAAGACTCCGACCACCTTAAGAGAAAAGAATAATCTACTATTTACGAATAATATATCTTTGGTAGTCGGAATTCGTAAGACTAGTATAGATATCTAAAATCGTTTTACCTCTATATTCTACGACGAACTCTTTAAGTTCGCTCGATTTTAAGAATATATTTAATTTCAGGTTCGGGTTACTAATTTTCGTAAATACCCTAAAAATCCCTTTTACTACGGAAGGGGGGGCTTTCGAAGGTAGTATTAAAGAATAAGCGTATACTCTATACGAGGTTATAATAACCTATAGAGTCGTTTCAAAATCACAGGGAATAAAAAATCTAAGTTCCACGCTATATATTCGTCGTTAAATATCACTAATACCCGAGATATAAACTTTATCTATAATAAGATATTAGTATATATTTCACGAATTACTTCTAAATCGTTTCCGAATTATTTCCGAATCGTTTCCGAATTGATATACTATATATTTTTCGCTTCCTACGATTCGACGCGAAAAAATAATAAGTCTTATCTAGATAAGTAAGGATTCCGTGTATAATAGAATTACAGGTATATCGAATAACATCTATATAAGAATAGAAACCTATTAAAATCACGGTGTTAATATACCGACGCGTTATATCCGCTACTATCTAAGACTAATATACTACACGATATTATTCGAAGTTCGTAAGTTACTATAATTAATTAATAACGTGTTAAGATAAAATAAAGTCTCTAAAGATAATACTTATATATAGTCTACTAAAGTCTACGCGTGGAATACACGTGTCTTCCTAGGTATTATAAGTAATCTTTCGATTAAATCTTCCCTTAAGTGCCCGAGCCTATCTAAAACGATATTAGTATTATATTCAAAGTATTCTAACGCGTTTTACTTACCTAAACGCCCTTTTCCGTATGGTAAACTCTTTTACTTACTCTCTCCGTTTACTAATTCTCCCCAATAACTATAGAGTTACCTCGTAATAGTAGAACTCTTATCGCGGAAGATATTTATAAGTTTTACCTCCTTAACAGATATACGTGTAGCGGTAAACCGGAGTATCTCTAAGTACTACGCTTATTGTTAAAAAACTAGGGTATTTCCGGGTAATATCGTACTAGACCTAAAGTAGACTATATTAGTAGAAGTAATCATATATAAAAGGAAAAAAGAACTTACGACTTTCTATAATACCTTTTTTTCCTCGTTACTTAGAGTATCCGTTAAGATAAAAATTACTAACCCCTTCTTAGATATCTAAGGAAACTCAGGTATCCTAATTATATATAGGATCTTATAGACTTTTATAGACTAAGAGTCCGGCGTAAGTCTACTATTACTATAGGTAGATACGGAGATAAAAAATAGCTTAGTATTCGACTTAGCAGGAATCTAATAGGTATAAGTAATTATAACTATAAAGTATAATTAGAAATATATATACTTCCGGAACCTAAATTCTTTAGATGATAATATTACCAGGTCGCTAATTAGGATTAAGTCTATGGAGATATAGTCGTAGATTCTTATTCTTAAGAAATCTATTATTATAAAATTCGTCTTCTTAAATATTTAGTTCTAGAAGATCTTTAGTGTCCTAAAGCTCACCACGATCGTCGAATAGTGAATTATACTCTATATCGAATAAATATTAGTATTATCTCGAATCGTTCCCGAATCGTTTCCGAATCGTTTCCGAATCGTTTCCTTCTATTCTGTCTATTTATTACTATCTTCACCGTATTATTACCCCTCTCCCTCTCCTATGTATTTTACACCTCTATTAACGCCTAATAATTACTTAAAGCACACACATATATTATATAACCCGTATAGGCCACGTCTCACACTAACTATCAAGTTAACACACCGCCCCACTTCGCCCCACACCAACCCTCAGCTTAGCCACAGGCTTTAATATCAGTTTATCTATAACTACCTATATCGGCGAGGAAGCTCCTATTAAGCTATTAGATAGTGACTTTAACTTATACCTAGGGAGTTATACGGTAGTTTAATAGGATACTAAGTAGTATATCTAAACCCCCGTATTTTACATAGAAAAATCTATACTCTTAATATATCTAGTTATACTTATTATCGTGATACTATTAGTTTATTTAGGCTCCGTAAGTACACTTTAAATAATAAACAGGTGTCGCACGTTAAAAGGCACTTGAATGATTAACTTAGTAGAGCAGAAATCTCGTGTGTATGTATTATATTAAGTTATATCTAGGAGAGTCTCTTATGCCCTTAATTTAGGTGGTAAAGACTCTATTATAGGTACTATATTATTTAGATCCTATCCGGTCTTTTCCGGTATCCACCCTTATTATATCCTAATACCCGAAGTCCCTGATATCCGGAGCCCTTAGTTATAGAGTGGATCCCCCCTAGATCCCCTATAGACTATATCATGGTCCTGCCTATACGACACACCCCCTTAGTTAAGGTGGGTCTTCCCAGGTTAACTAACTAATTAGAGGCTTCAGTTTAAACTAAACGCTCTTAACTTTTCCATCGTGAAATTAATAGTTAAGGGAAAACGCCCTCGTAAAAGGGATCTAAATCCGCCCTATTTAACCGTTTAATTTAATTCTATCTTAATTAGTTCCTCGATCCTAATTAGCCGGATCTAATTAATTAGATCTATATCTATCGGATCTACTACGCCCTTAGGAGCCTTTATTATGGCCGCTTTAGCGCGTTTAATCTCTTCGTATAGTCGTTTAGACTACTCGATATAGTCCTTTTAATCTGTTAAATTAAGCTATTACTATAGTCTTTTAATTCCTGCCTCCGGTAATACCTTTATTAAACTATCCGCGATTATCTCCTTTATATTAACGTATATAACCTTAAAAAGGCCCTGCTATACTAACTAACGCTGATATACCTAACCGATAAATCCCTGGCTAGC